AGGAGAAGTACCGTCCTCCAGAGCATAAAGAGTCAAGTCTGGAGATGATACGGCTCCCTCGCTCCCTCTCAGACAGAAACTGTCTCTCTTCTTTGCTTTCTAAGATTTACTTCTGTCTTTTGCTGCATACATTTGTTCAAAAATACAAACACATTTTTTCAATACAGTATAAATAAAATAAAACAAATAAACATGCCTTAGGCTTAGAGTATGTTCTGAATCTGAAAAGAGTGTTTTTTGTGAAGAAGAAGAAAAAAAAAAAATATATATAGAAAACAAAAAAACTAATTCTAAAAAAACCCAAAGAAAATCATATTGAGGGGAAATGCATTTTAAATGAAATGCATGTTTATGAAAAAATGGATTAGGTCATTTTCAAATGAGTAAGAAGTTCCCATGCTAGTCTCTGTTTCACTGTAATTTTTCCTGAAGCTGTCTACAATAACTCTCTACGCACACACACACACACACACACACACACACACACACACACACACACACACACACACACACACACACACAGACACAGACACACACACACACACCATGTTTACATCACTTCAGGGGGCATTACATTGACTTACATGCATTACCTGGAGTCTTATCCTAACCTTAAGCATAACCAACACATGCCTAACCCTAACCCTAACCAAGTCTTCATTAATTAATTAATTATGTCCCCATAAGGGAGGCGAGTCCCCACACGTGACTGTATGAACAGATTTAGGTCCCCACAAGTATAGTAATGCTAGGACGCACGCACACACACACACACACACACACACACACACACACACACATACACACACCTGATACATTGTTACAATCTAAGCACCGAGAAACTTTCTGCTCCTGCTCTCCACCTTCTCTACCCTTTGAACTGCTCAAAATGGTCACATTTTAACGCACTGTAATCCTCACACCTGCACACCAGACTAATAACTCCACAACCCCCCACAAGCAATTTGAGCAAATATATATGTATATAGATAGATAGATAGATCGATCGATAGATAGATAGATCTCTGTTCTGAGGGGCTAGGAGCTAATATGGGAGAAGAGTGAGTGGATTGGATTGAGAGAATCTGGAAAGAGCAGAGAACTAAGTATATTAGTACATTTGAAGATGAGCCATAGGAAGAGACCCTAACAACAGGTGCAAAATGTGAGCATAATTCAAGGGTTAACGTTCATGCAGTATTCAAGTGGCAGGAAGCACAATAGACTGTGCAGACGTTACATACTGGCTATTAAGGTCCATTTTCTAAATTGGCTATTAACTCATGACACTGCGACTACTGAACGATGTGAGCACTGTTTTGACTTTTCACTCACACACAGCCCAACAGGTGCCTTTTTGCTCTGCTTTCTCTTCTTTTTATGGCTCATAGCATCTGTCGCAGTTGCTATGTGAGGGACAAACATGAAGCAGTGCTGAACACACTGGACTCTCAGACAGAGATATAACAACCAGAGGAAATGAGCTTTCTATTGACAGCAGTGCGAAGTTCACATTGTTTCTATTGAGCGTCAAGCCGGCGTCTCCTCCTCTCTCTCTCAAATGGATGCACAGCTCTGGAAAGAATAAAGAGACCACTGCAGAAAAGTGGTTTTACTATTATTTAAACAAGATTATTTCACCAAATAATGATTTCTGAACTGTTTTTAAGATTAAACATTAGTATTGTGGTGTTAAAAAATGAATATGAGCTTGTTTACAGTCCATTATTTGAGGTCTGAAAACACTTAAGTAAAATATTTTCTGTTAATAGTCAAAAACAAAGAAGCAGACACCGAGATATTTTGTGTAAAGCAAAAGAAAAACCAGGATCCTACATATTCCATAATGCAACTTTATAGAAGCTTGACTGCTTTTCCTCAAGAGCAATTGATTAATCTTCAACAGTTTCCATGCAAATATAATCAGGAATTCATATATTGTATTTGTATCCACTTTCTGTAAATAGACAACATTTCTATTGGACATTTGGGAGAAATGTTGTTAATAGTTAATATAATAATACCAAAATAGCCATTTTACTCAACCACATACCTATAAATAGTAAAAACACACAATGTTTTTAAACCACACTCTATGTAAATGCATCTTCTTTGCCTCTTCTTATAACTGTGGTATCAAGAGACTGTCTTGATTGTAAGGAGTTGTTTCGCAGCTCAAATTGCTATAAGATATATCCACTAGGGCTACACAATTAATCAACATTTCAGCACAATCGCAATATTCTAGTGCAATATCCAAATCGCAGAGACGTCCAACAAACAGTGTCTTTCAGACTTAAAAATAAGTCCTCGTCTGGTACAGATCCTCCTAAAAACAAATCAAACTCTTCTGATTTTAATATATTGAATCATATCACAATAGTTGTATAATTAAGAATTGTCTCATTTAGTTATTTTCTCCAAATTGTGCAGCTCCATATACCAACTGAGGACTGAGCAAATAAATAATAAATACAATCATATTAATCAGAACATTATACATTTTATTGACATTTTAGATATGCTTTCATTAAGATATTATCCAGTTAATGCAATAATTAATGCATATTATGGACATTGTGTGTGTTGACTGAGCCTAGCATCTTTTTTCAGTCTCTATAAGTTATTTTGCAACATGGTTCCTCACTCAGGAAGCAAAGGAAGACGTTTCTCTTTGTTTTGTGTTTCTATTGTCTCCTTTTATTCCTGTAACCTTGTCCCCTTTGTTATTTCTGCTCGAGGAGAATAAAGCGGTTTGTGGTTGCTCCAAAGTTCATTCCCAGACGTTGTATTGTTTAGTAAATTGGCTCCAGATCCGTTGCTTTAATTCTCTTGTGTAGCAGATCAAGACAGTTCTCGCTAAAACTGAGTCAGGACTGCTGGTGTAAACAGAGACGGGGCTTTCTGGCTTGTGGTAATCGAGGAGTTAACGTATGAATAAGCATGTGTTCATCAAGGGATCCGGATATTTATGTCTCAAGTTTTAGCGATTGCTCACATTTCCAGTTTTTTTGTGTTGAAATTGAATCCACTTTATAATGTGTTTCTGTTTCACTTTGGCTTAAAGGGGACCTATCATGCAAAATGCACTTTTTGATGTCTTTTATACATGAATATGTGTGTCGGGGAACTCACGCAGTGTCAGAAAATAAAACACTCTCTTTTCCTCCGTACCCAAATCTCTAAAAACGGGGCTACAACGGAGCTGATCCAGATTTGCGTCCGATATGACGTAATATCGGAAATGTGGACCCACGGCCCTATCAGAAACGTTGCTATCAGAAACAATGCCCGACTGTTTTGGATGTAATATGGTCGGTGTTTACATTAGCATCGCTAACACTCAGAGCTAACCTGTACTGGAGAGCATGTGTGTGAAGAAGCAGGAAATAAAAAGGAACTCACCTTGTGGTATAACCGGCAAGAGAGAAAGCCTTTGAGCTCCAAACTGTTTCAGAAATAATCCTTGATAATTCATGATATGGCGTTTCATCACCGCAGTATTTAGTTTAGACAGTAGCTGCCGGGTCCCGCATGAGCTCAGACCCCTGCTTTTTTATTTTCTATCAATTTTTTTTTTTTTAAAGCTTTATACCCAAAATCAGCACTTTTGAAACAGGAAGTGAAATAGAGGGATATGAGGCATGGCTAGAATGGGTGATCTGTTTGGTATTTTGAGCAAAACACTTCATAGACATGTTCTTTATATATTTGTATATCTCTGAGACCTATGCTATTGCCTAAAAATAGCATGATAGGTGACCTTTAATATTTTCAATAAATCACTTTGAATTGCCTGTTGGAAATGTGCTTGTAAATAAACTTTCCATGCCTTTATCTTTGGTTTATTTTCAAAGCTTTAATAGTTTTTGGGTGAAAAGTGTCCGTCAGTACTGACTTGTTGTCCTCAAATGTCTGGTTTTCTCCACAACTCAAGATATTCAGTTTCACGAGAAAATACACGAGAAAATATTCACATTTAAATAGTTGGAATGATGTCATTTTGACTCATTTGATTTTTTTTTTTTTAAAGGGGCCCTATAATGCTAATTGTTATGATCATATCAGTATTTAGTGTCTCTACTGTGACATGTCTCCATGCTTTAATGTTCAAAAAGCTGCACCTCTTTTCACCCTCTGTCTGAAACCAGAGCCCAGTCTGCTCTGATTGGTTAGCTGGCCGGCTCTGTTGTGATTGGTCAACCTCTTAGAGATGTCTTGCCCCTTAGCCTATCACGTACAATGTGTTGGAGCGTGTAATGGAAATTATGATTATCAGAGAATTGAATGCTATGATGTTATATTTAACATATAAATAATACAATTCTGTAAGCCTTACATGTCGAGAGACAGTAGATCTCAGCACTCAGGAAGGTGATCAGTGACAAGGTGTCATGTGACCACACAGTGATCTGATGATGGGTCTATTATACTCTGATAGGGTCATGGTTCAGTTATCTCATGACTAAGCATATTCATTGTAACTGTATAAAAGCTCTCTCTTGACTTTGAGAAGTTGCACTCGGCTGTGGAGACATTACTCTTCATGTTGCCTCTTTTGCAAAAGATTAAAGGACCAGAAAGACATCTCTTTGACTAGTTAATATCAATGATTTCCACCACAAGCGCTAGCCAATAGAAGTGCGATTGTTAGTGTGTGGGGGGAACACAGGGATTTTAGCCTTTGCAGACCATTTACATGCACTCAAACCTATAGAACACACTACAGGGAAGAGAAAACCCCAAAAAGCAAAATAAAGCCTCTTGAAAAAGTGACTCAAACCAATTAATCGGTGAAAATAGTTGGCAAACACTTCAAATCCAATAATTGATTTTCCCGTCTACCAGGTTCCTTTTCAGATAGTAAAGCCATTTTCTTTTTATGTAAGCCCATTAACATTTCAAAGTCTTACCTTGAGCTTGTTTTTTGCATGTTTGCTTCTGAACTTTTTCTAAAATGTCTGTCTTTTTGTGTCCCCTCCTTCCCTGTGCCCCTTCAGGAGTGGATCTGCCAGCCTCCCCTCTCCATTACACCCTGAAACCTGGGATGACCTTTTGTTGCTGCCCTCTCTACCTCCTGTTTTCCTCCTTACCCCTCTCCTCCCCTTTCCTAAACTCCCCTCCTCCTCCTCATTCTCCTCGGTGTCTCCCAGCCTCGGGTTTATTACTCTGGACTGAAGGGAGCGACACAGCGGCTTGCAGAGGATGAAGAGGGTCTGCCTGCCAACTCCAGACAGAGGATAGAGGGAACAAAAGGAGAGAGAGACACAGAGAGTAACGACTGGTGGACAAGAGAGGCAACGATTCAAAATGCCACGACGAAGGAAAAACACTTGAGCGTCATGAGCTAGCAAGGGGCCCCTAAAACACATCTTCTTCAACAAACTTCTTGCTGTGGAGACACTCACACACTCTCTCCTGCTCCTGGCGCTCCTTGTTAACACCTGATATGCCTCTGTGAGAAAGTGAGAGCCATGCCAGCCAAAGGGAAATACCTGCTGAACGACCAGGAGCTGAAAAATGAGGTGCTGTACCGCAAGTTCTCGTACATCAGCCAGTACCAGCCGCTGGTGCTGCTGCTGGGCCTCTCCATGCTCTCCTGTGTCATCCTCCTCATCCTCTTCTTCGCCCTGCAACTGGTGAGTCTGCACTTCCGTGTGTTTGTTAAAAACTGTAAGAAATTCTGCGTTTTTTGCAGATTTCTCGATTGTCATGGAGAGCGTTTTAGGTTATTGATCATATGCAAAAGTTAGTTTATTTGTCCTTGAGCCCCTGTACTGTAATTGGAGTTTGTCACAATCTCCTTCACTGTGTTCATTTATATTAGGGTTCTTACGGTCATTGAAAACCTGGAAAAGTCATGGAAATTCAAAATGCTAATTCCAGGCCCTGGAAAAGTTATGGAAAACAATATTTTCCCCAAAGTTTTGGAAAAGTCATGGAAATTTAACTAAAGTTGCATCAAATATAATTTATATTTGATCTAATCGCCGAAATAATAATACTATAATGATAATAAATACTGTATCGTATAGGAATGAAACGTAAAATGGCATTTAACTGTCGAGGTATTTTGCTGGTGAGAGATTTTAGTAGCTTTAGCGTGTAGAGCCTACTATTTGATTTGTTTTAGATAGGCACAACATGTTTCATATGCAGACCTTATTTTCCTGTTCCATGTTAAAATAAACCATTTTCAGTGGTACCGCATGAGAAAGAGTAATTTTTTTGGTCATGGAAAATTAGGTAAAGGTCAGGGAGAAGTCATGGAAAAGTCATTGAAAATCATTGGTAAAAAAGTGTATGAACCCTGTTATGTGTTTGTTAAAAACAGAGAGAAATGTTGCGTTTTTTGCAGGTTTTACATTGATCGTATAGAGTATTTTAGGTTATGATAATGTGCAAACGTTGATTGCCTCGGTTTAAGTTGAGCTGTTAGCGTGTGAGCCACTGTGTTTATCTAGGGGTTTGTTAGAAAATGGAAATAAGTGTTGCTTTGTTTGCAGATTTCTCATTGATTATGGGGAGTATTTTAGGTTATTAATCATATGTAAGAGTTGCCCTCAAGTCACTGTGATTATCTCCTTGACTGTGTTCATCTATGTGTTTGTTAAAAATATAAATAATGTTTGCTTTGTTTGTATATTTAACTTGGGTCATGGAGAGTATGAAGGTCAGTGATGAAATGCAAAAGTTAATTGCCTCAATTTAAGTTGAGCTAATTGCCTGTCAGCCACTGTGAGTGAGGTTTTCATAGTCATTTTCATTAATTTATTTATAGTCCTGCACACAAATGATGAGTACTTCCTGCAAAGAGACATTAGGCATTGTTTATTACACTTTTAAAAGGCAGAAAAGTTGATATATTCACAGTCTATTGATTTGTTATTGAGTCTCACATGTCAGAAAATGGGGGGAAATGTTGATCAGTACTGAGTTGACATCATCAAATGCCTTAGACATTAATCTCACTGTAAAATAGAAAATCCTGAAACTTCAGAAATGTGACACTTTTTCCGTCTCAAAAAAAGAATTGACCTTAACCCACCCAGAAAATATATTGTCAAAATTGTAGGCGATCATTTCCCCGTGGTAACAACTTCTTGAACAACACAGTACTCTTTTTGTTGGGTTGCCCGTTGGCCACTGTTTTTGAAGTTTTTATAATCTCCTTCACTGTGCAGAAAACACATTTATCTGTAACTCAACACCTGTGCATCAGACTGTGAATCTGTGTAACATTACCCCACCAATCAGCAGCCATTGAGGCAGAGGAATGATTGGCATCAGTTGTTCTCGTGAACTCCTGCACATGAACGACAGTTACTTTCCTCGAAGAGACATTAAGCTTCTCTAGTTGCGTCTTTAAAGGCCAGAAAATCCTTCTCTGGTAAAGCTTGGGATTATCTGGCTAGTTGTCATTTTTCTCCCTTTGACATAACCAATTATGTTGTACAACTTGTTTTTACCAGCTGGTGGGAACAAGACACTGTCAAACTGTGTAGATGTGCACAGGGTTGTCGTGCATACAGTATACATGGCTTTAAATGTCAAATGCATTACTATGCTGTGACAGATCCTGACCTGATATGCCCTTGTTCTGTTTTTGGAGTATTTGTGTACTCTTGCTGGGAAGAGGAATGACACATCAAGATAGTAGATGGCTCAAGAAATGGTGTATACATTTGAGTCATGAGTTTTCAGCTGATTTTAACACACAAATGAACTCACATGTAACAGTAATAACGAAAATTGCTGGATGTTTGCACTTTCTTCATCCAGTTTTACAGTCATTTGAGCCTTTAAGTAACTTCACAGGTGTGCTTTCATCTTGGAGCAAAGCAGGTACCTCAGATTTGAGCACAATGCTTCTTATTGTGCAGTTGAGAACAGGTGGACTCTAATGCACACGTAATGGCTCATAAACTATGAAATGAGGGATTCAGACAGTGAGTTAGGACTAAACATCCGAGGCTGCTCGCAAATCAATGCTCTAATTGTGCTGAAATGTTTTGATTAGTTGAGCTAACAATGACAATCTTTATGTGACACATAGACACCTGGTTCTGCAGTTTAACCCACACCATACATACATTTAGTCGTCCATTTCTGTTGTATATCCTTTACAGCTAATTGATTAAATCATGTCAGATAAGCAAATTAGATACACTATAACCGCTTTCACACCAAGTACTTTGCCGTACTTAGTGCCGGCACTTAGTGCCCCGGCACTTATTACCCCAGGGCACTAAGTACCAATCGCGTTCACACCGGAGTACTTTTCCCTGAGGGAAGATTACGCAAATGAGCCGCTGACGTCACTTCGTCTTCTTCTGCTTTGGGTTTACTGGCAGGCCGCAAGAACTTCACGGTGTATACTGTCACCCGAAGTCCCCGGCCGTTTTATTTTGTGTTGCCATAAGTTAGTCTCTCTGCGTTTGTGCGCTGGGCTAATGCTCATAATGCTAATGCCTAAGGGGCGACTGTGGCTGCAAGGGAGTGCGGTCGTCTTTCAACCAGAAGGTTGTGGGTTCGATCCCAGCCCATGCAGTCAACATGTCGATGTATCCTTGGGCAAGATACTTAACCCTGAGTTGCTCCCGATGGCCAACGGTGTGTGAATGTGTATGAATGTTAGTTCCTAGAGTAAGGTACACTGCTCTGTATGAATGGGTGTGAATGGGTGAACAACATGTAGTATGTAAAGCGCTTTGAGGGGTCTTAAAGACTGGATAAAGCGCTATATAAGTACAGTCCATTTACCATTAATGCCAGCAAATACAATGGCGGCTTCAAAAAACTTTTCAGAGTTTTACGGGGCGTGGTTTGCAATTCGCCCAGCCAATAGAAATTGGTACTTTTTTGGTACCACCTCTCTAGCAGGCACTAAAAATGGGGGTAAAAGTTCCCGGCACTAAGTACTCTTTTTGGTGTGAACGCGACATCAGGGGTACTAACGGAACTAAACGGGAAAAGTACAGGGAAAAGTACTGCGGTGTGAACGCGCCTTATTATTATCAACTATGTGATTATTAGGTGAGATGCTTTAGATTAGATGCCTGGCACTTTAAGGTACTTTAAGGTACTTCGATATTGACTTTACTTCTGACCTATATCTGTGATCCATTGACTCTTTCATTGACTCGTCGTCTTCTGTCAAGTACTGACATTTACAGCTCTTGAATTTGTAGAGTTTTGAGAAATGGTGTTTGTTAAATGCTTCTAAAAAAAACAAAAATATTGAATTGACAACAACATTAGAAAACTACCATCTTTATCCAAACATTTGAAGCAAGTCACAGGACATACTTTTGTTCTGTTACAATATTTGTGTAGTGTCTTAAAGGGGACCTATCATGCAAAATTCACTTTTTGATGTCTTTTATACATAAAAATGTGTCCCTGGTGTGTCGGGGAACTCACGCAGCGTCAGAAAATAAAACCCTCTCTTTTTTCCTCCGTACCCAAATCTCTAAAAACGGGGCTACAACGGAGCTGATCCAGATTTGCGTCCGATATGACGTAATATCTGAAATGTGGACCCACGGCACTATCAGAAAGTTGCTATCAGAAACAATGCCCGATTGTTTTTGACGTAATATGGTCGGTGTTTACATTAGCATCGCTAACACTCAGAGCTAACCTGTACTGGAGAGCATGTGTGTGAAGAAGCAGGAAATATAAAGGAACTCACCTTGTGGTATAACCGGCAAGAGAGAAAGCCTTTGAGCTCCATACTGTTTCAGAAATAATCCTTGATAATCCATGATATGGCGTTTCATCACCGCAGTATTTAGTGTAGACAGTAGCTGCCGGGTCCCGCATGAGCTCAGCCCCCTCCTTTTTATTTTTTTAAAGCTTTATACCCCAAATCAGCACTTTTGAAACAGGAAGTGAAATAGAGGAATATGAGGCATGGCTAGAATGGGTGATCTGTTTGGTATTTTGAGCAAAACACTTCATAGACATGTTTTTTATATATTTGTATATATCTGAGACCTATGCTATTGCCTAAAAATAGCATGATAGGTGACCTTTAAATAACCTTAAAAAGCGCTCTATAAATAACATGTATTAAGTTTTATCCTTTAGCTTTGGGGTACGTTTTTATGCTTTATACTTGGTAAAGGTGTTGCACTGGGCTGCAATACATGTAAGGTGTTTTATATATTTCTATCCACTAGGAGGAAGTATGCAAATAATAATTGTTATAAAATAGATTAAGACTTATTTTAGAGATTCACTATGCCCCATTGTATTTTTCTATACCTTCGATGGTGCAGAGATGATTCATTGAGTTGGTTAGAGTATGGGGACTCATCTTGAACATTAATACATTCACATGCAGCATAATGTAAAGAGGCGCAGGATGGTCAGTTTGAATCTCTGTGAAAATGTGAAAAATTGAAAACTCTGTCCTCTCCCTCGACATCTACTTGGATGAAGCTCTTAACTCCCCTTCACTAGCCGAGTGAATGAGAGAGTGATTGTGTAACTGTTTGAAAGTGAAGGAGCACATCATCGCTGAAATAGACTCGAAAGTAGAGGACGCATACTTCCCTAGATTAGAAAAAAAGGCACAAAGTAAGAAGTGCATCTCCTCAACAACATCACAGTTTCATAATGCTGATGATTCCCTGGCAGGAAATTGTCTTTCCTTTCTCTCCGCAGTGAGGTCAGGGGTCAGGGTGAGCTAGCCTGCAGCTGTTAATGCTTCAGTTTTACTCAAAAATACTTCAACAGAAAACAAGTCTGCCGATGACACGAAGTCTATTCACTGAGGCGCTTTCTTTCTGCTAAATACATTCCCCTGCTGCGCTTAAAACCAAGACCATTAAAGGGTTTGGTTGACAACTTAATAGAATAAAATGAACCAAGAGGGGATTAAGGTATGAAATGGAGGTTAAAACAATGTAGCTGTCAAAGTGTATAGAGGGTAATTATGTGAGGAAAAGGCAGGTATTCATTGAATATGCTGTTGACGTTGGCATAATGGCAGGTAGCATAGCAGTCAGTGGTTCATTTAGTGAAGTGACAGATATAATGACTTTCCCCTGTTGGAAAAAACATCTTAATAATACGTTTATTTATTATTATCTTAACCTTCCCTCCATTGTCTTGCTGCTGAGTCTATGGCACACTCCCTTTCTGTCGTCATTGTACCTAAATATCTATCACTCTCACACACTCCTTTGAAATGCATCCATCCCAGGGGCGTGATTACGTCAGAAGCTAAAATCACAATTATTTTGGCTTTTTTTTTTTTTTTTAAGATTACTTAACTTAATTATACTTAATAAAATCACCTCAAAATGTGTATTTCCTTTCAAATTAAATGTAAAAGACATATAGATAAAAATAAAATATAATAAATAAAGTTATATATAATAAACATTCAAAAATAAATACACCAAATAATGCATTTAAAAATAAACAAGATGTTGTGCACTTCCAAGTGCTATTGCAAAATTAATAACCTATATAAATAAATTGGTCTATAATTAATTCAGTCAAACTATATATATATATCCAGGGGTGCACATAACTGGTGCGTACAGTCACTTGTCTCACTAAGTGCATTTACGTACCGACGGACTTGTGAAACATTTCCAGAAGGCGCTTCGATCACTGGACGACAGAGCCGGTCGCCGGTCGCACAGACGGGGCTGCTGTTAACGTCGGTGTGTACAACGGAATTGTGCCACAACTTCCGGCGCGAGTTCCACACGCGTGCTCCACTAGCACCCACCCACACCCCTCCCGTCGACGTTCAATACCACCCCCCCACCGCCCGCCCCCCCCACCCGTTGACGTTGGCGAACCAGAGGGGCTGAACACATAACTTTGCGCGGGCAGCCCTGAGTACCAAACATTGTCTCCTGGTACTCATTTATGTACACCAAATATACATACAACACCATTATTTTAGTGTTTTGCTCAGACAAATACACACAAATGATATGTCCCACATGTGTTTCATTCATTTGAGTTGCTCCTAGTATGCAATAAATAAACAAACTCTTCAGCCACCTCATCTATCACGGGAAATACCGTCACTCCCTCTTTCTCTTCCTTCTCTCATTAATCTTCCTCCTCTGTCTTCCTGCTCACTCAGTTGCCAGGGGGAGAGAAGAGCAAAGAGAAAATGCTGCGAATGACGGAGCTTGTGTAACGCTGTTGTTAAATCCTAAGGACTCGGGGGGGGGGGGGGTGCGCCTGTTAGAGAGGTTGGATACCGGTGTCAAAAAGTCGAACTTATATAACTCCTCTCCAATCGACAGCGGATGAAGAGCAACGCTGAGAGGAAAACACTTGTGAGACCTGTACAAGGCTCTGATTGGTTGAGAGATGATACTAAGCGGTTGTTTGGGGTCTTTAAAGGTCACCTATTATGCAAAATCCACTTTTTCATGTCACTTCTACATCACCATGTGTCCCCTCTGTGTAAAGAGACTCTGAAAGTAAAAAGATTCTCTCTCTCTTTGTCCTGATCCATTTATATAAAAACCTGTCTGAAAATGAGCTGATCAGATTTTGGCCCACTTTATGATGTCATAACGATGTGTTGGCTTGTGTAACCATTAGCCAATCACCAACCAAGGTAACCCACCCCCCACCTTATCACCTGAATCTCCTCCTAGAGCACCATTGTGTTATTTCTAACCAAATATCTCTCAGAGGGGCTCCTTATTTTCATCTGAAGTAACAGACAGAGAATCAGCACTTTTGAAACAGGGCTGAAACAGAGGGGATTATGGGATGCTGCAATGATCTGTTTGGTGTTTGGAGCCAAACACTTCAGTGAAATGTTTTGTATATATCTGAGACCTATAATATATTGATGAAAAACAGTATCATAGGGGACCTTTAGCTCTTTTCTAGAGTATTCTGATGCTTATTTTGAAAAGGGAATTTGGGGTTAAGTATCTCGCCCCAGGACACTTCTACATGCTGATTGCAGGGACTAGGATCGAACCAACAATCTCCTAATTGCAAAACGACAGCACTACCTCACACATTTGCACAATATTGACATTAAAATGATCTGGAATCACTCGATCTCCTCTTGAAATATGACTCAAATCCAGAATCAAAATAGTCGTCAATCATCAAAATAGTTGCCAACAAATCGATGTATTTATTAACGTTGAATGGCCAAAATGTTTTATTTATTGAGTCACCATCATTATCTCCTCTACTATGCATCAGATCATGAACTTTGTGTAACATTACCCAACTAATTAACAGCCATTCGGACGGATTGATTGGGATTTTGTTGTTGTTGTATTACTTAAAAAATTACGCAATTAATACAGATTATTTCTGGTTTTATCGGAGAGATGACCCGATTGATGTCTTCACAGAGACCGTTATTCTCTTCTTGAATAACTTCCTTGACCATCTCCCGGATAGCCAGTAGCATGCTAGCGTCCACACAGCTCCTGCTACTAGCTTTAGCCGGCATGGTGTTTTGCGGTTCGAGGGGCATCTTATCCAAATAAGGTTCCAAAAAAACGTTGTTGACTCTCCAAATACTAAAATATAACGAACACTCAATCACGTTTTTAGCAAATTACAGCATACATACATTACATTACATTTGGTGTTCGGGTCTGGGAAGACCCAGCAGAATTGTTGTGGGTGACTCGAGGTCAAATTTGGCCCAATCAAGATTCATCTTTGACTTTAGACACCCCACCCCCTTCATCAACTGTAACAATAATTTTTCGCAACATGCACCCTGGTCTCCCCTCCCTCTGCCCCCCCTCCCCCCACGGGAACTCAACCTTTCTCAAAGAATATGTAGACTAACACTTGAACCTGAACACACACATGCACGTGTGCAATATGTGGTGTAATGTGTTTTGGGCCATACCGTAACATTAAATTACAACAGGATTGTACGGTTATGAATACATAATAAGTTAGTTATGATGTAGTTAAAACAATATTGGATGATAGTCATTTTTTTTTTGTGTTTTGGGCTGAGATAAATCATGGGTCAAAATTGCCCCGCGAACACCATGAACGGTAACAGCTTTCGAACACAACACAAGGGTTCATTATGTATAAAACATATCTACTCCCCCTAGTGTCCCTCAGACTCTTCCTGGTTTCAAACTGAGAATTTGTCTTTTACCTCCAAGCAAAAAAGCTTCAAACGGTATCTCATCAATATCATCGTATTCTGTCATCTCATTGAAACATATAGAAATACACATTTATTATTGCCAGCATCATTTTTTCATAAATAGGATTTTCAAAAGTAAACCTGGTTTCATGTGAGTTTTTTTTTTATATTGATGTGATGTGTTGAACATTACCTACAGTATAGCTGTATCTGTTCTCTGATTTGAACTCCTTTTTATGTATTCATTGATTATGTAAACACAGCTCTCTATCATTAAAACCCTCCTGATAATCCACACATAGATACCACAAAGTAAAAGGAATGCACATATTACAGAGACGTACATCTGGTTTCATGTGAGGTTTTTTTAGATATTAGTGTGATGCTTTGAAAATTAGCCTATAGCTGTATCTGTTCTCTAATTTTCGCTTCTTTCCATATAGAATAAATGTTCTTTTCCTGCCTACAAAAAGGTTTTCTGTCGAGTCTCCGAGCTTCACCGGGAGCAGAAAGTGCTTTAGATGAGATCTGGCCTCTTCTCAAAGCTGCCATGGCAACCAGAAAGCTGAACATACAATGCAGCGATGGCCTTCTCCGCACAGAGATCTATTAACGCCGACTTTGTGCGTCTGTCTCACTCCTGAGCTCTCTTATTAACCCCTCGTTTCCTCTCTTACTCTGCCTCCAACACCCACTCACTTCCTCCCACCACCTCTCAGCTTTTTATGCATGAATTAAACACACTCACAGATATTCACACACAAGCAGCAAACATGTGTTCAAAGAGTGTGCGTGGTCTTTTTGTTTCTCACTGTACAGTAAATCAATCAGGAAGATGGATTCCTGAAGCAAACAGGACATGATGCATACGGAAATATTTTAGGGAAACACTCCAACATAAGCCTCAGTGCTTATGAATATCAACGTTTATCAGGAGCATCTTATATTCATCTAAAACCTCAGATTTAATAAGTCGGAAATAGAAGCAATAACCTGCTGATTAAAAAAGATAAAGTGTGCAAGCTTTGTTTATTATGTTGACACTAGATTTGAATGCATAGACAGAGGACCTGACAAAATAATAGACTTGTCTTGCAAAAAAAGCCCTGCAGATTAATGATTCGGTGAAGTTCTAGTGTTTGGTTTTTGTTAGGACTGGTTAAAAAAATGTGTTGATTAAAGTTAAGTGGCAACCTCCATGTCTGAAAAATGTATGTTCCTGTTTCTCCCTCAGAGTCCATCGGAGCACTGTGCCTTTGTGAGCGTGGTGAGCGGCAGCCTGTGTGTGTTCCTGTGTGTGTTCGTGCTGGTGTGTACGGAGATGCTGTCGCAGCGATGGAGGCATCTGCTGGGTCTCATCGTCTGGGCCACGCAACTCACCATGGGCTACACCTTCATCTTCAGCGGGCCCATCATCCTGCCCTGGGACCAGGTAACCTGTTCGAAAAATATCACTCGTCACCGGCTTGAGCGCTTCAATAATCAGGATACATGTATTTATTATACTCTCAAGAATGGTCTTCACATACAGAGCATTTGGTCCAACTAGTTCCTGAACAGTGTCCTTCACATGCTGATATACAAGAGAGGGAGTTACACAGTCACAAGATGGAGGAATACCGGTTCTTGTAGGTAATCATACATCCTGTCATGTACAAAATACTGAGTTTTTTCTCAAAATGTTGGCTTTTTTCTCAAAATCTCAAAATTCTGACTTTTTCTCAAAATCTCAAAATTCTGACTTTTTCTCAAAATCTCAAAATTCTGACTTTTTTCTCAAAATTCCGACTTTATTTCAAAATTCTGACTTTTTCTCAAAATTTCAAAATGTTGACTTTTTCTGAATACTTAACATTTTTAATAATCACTGGTCACCGGCTTGAGCTTCAATCTCAGGATCCATGTATTTATGATCCTCTCCAGAATGGAAGTAGTCATCACATACAGAGCATCAACTAGTTCCTGAACAGTGTCCTTCACATGCTGATATACAAGAGAGGGAGTTACACAGTCACAAGATGGAGGAATACAAAGCAGTATTCAATGTTTAGTTCAGATTAGACCCACGTCAGAAATGATCTTGCTTGAGTCACTTTCAATATAATGGCGCATTTCCACTACAGGGCCTCGCTCGGTATGGCTAGGCCTCGTTAGCCCTTGTTAGGACTGGCTCACTTTATGCTGCGTTTCCATTACAGTTTAGTAGCTGGGGCAGTAACTATAGTAACGCAGTCAGACTGTCTGTGTCATGGCCAATACAGTCGCTGGTTTATTTATGTCTGTATAGGCCGTTGTTGTGAGTGTGGACGGTCGGAGCATATACTGCGTTAGCTTAGCCAATCTCCATTCAGAAAACACGCATTTCAAAAGGTTTTTTGCCTGCCGTCTGTCTGCAGACTTGTCAAAGCATTAATTCATGGTTTTTACTAACCGGTATCAGTATGTTGTTACTTCGGCATCATTTTGAAACGTGTATTACAATTAAATCACGGTCAAATATGTTCATTTCACATAATTAATGAATTTAATCATCTTCTAGTGTGTAAATATATGCTTTGGCACTTTATTATCTGATCATTTTGTTGGTCTAGTAGTGTTATGGCGCTTTTCCACTGCAGCGCGTAGCACGGTTTAAGCGTGCCGTGCCAAACCCAGCCCGTTTTTTGTTGCGTTTCCACTAGGGGTAGTTCCGGCTAACGGGTACTTTTTCACAGTTTTTCTGGCCCTCCAAAATCGTGGTTCTTTCCGGGCCAACAACCGGGCTGAATATGCTAAACTAGTGAGAGAATCGCTGGCAAGGGGGCTACAACTACAACAAAATGAACATATTTGACCGTGATTTAATTGTAATACACGTTTCAAAATGATGCCGAAGTAACAACATACTGATACCGGTTAGTAAAAACCATAAATTAATGCTTTGATAAGTCTGCAGACAGACGGCAGACGAAAAACCTTTTAAAATGCGTGTTTTCTGAATGGAGATCGGCTAAGCTAACGCAGTATATGCTCCGACCGTCCACACTCACAACAACGGCCTATACAGACATAAATAAAGCAGCGACTGTATTCACCATGACACAGACAGTCTGTGGTTTGTACTTGTTTAACTTTTGTCTAGTTTCTGAACAGATATGAGGAGCTGTGAGCTTGAGTGCTAACAGCTAACGGCTGATGTTGGTTTTGTGTTTCGCATTGAAGATGACGTCACGGCTCCGCCTACACTGCGTTACTATAGTTACTGCCCCAGTTCCTAAACTGTAATGGAAACGCAGCATAAAGTGAGCCTGGCCTACCAAGGCCTAACTATACCGTACTAAGCCGTGCGAGGCCCTGCAGTGGAAATGCGCCATTATATACATTAGTGGGACTACAAACAACTTTTTCTAAAATTATTTTCCAAGTTTCATGACATGTGGGACCTTTTCTAGAGACCAATGACTCAAAACAAATGATTCAAGATTCAATTTTATTGTCATTTTTACATAGCTACAGTGTAGTTATGACAATGAAATGCTTAGGTCACAGGCTCCTCCAACAGTGCAACACAATAAACAGATAAGATAGTGCAAGTAAATACAAATAAAATATAATATAATAGGAATAGTGCAAGAAAAGTCTATATACAAGTAATTGGAATATTGATATATATAAGTTGCAAACTGATTAATGTTATGGATGTTCTTGAATGAATAAATGAATAAACATGACGACCCTTTGTGTCTCCAGGTGCCTTTCTTCCTCTTCATCATCTTCACCGTGTACACCATGCTGCCCTTCCAGCTGTGGTACGCCGTGGTGCTGAGCGTCGTATCCTCGCTGTCTCACATCATGGTGCTCACTCTGCGCCTCACCGTCTACGAAAAGAAGCCCCCTGATTACCTCGCCTACCAGGTAACACAAAAAATGAGATTTTATGAAAAAAGGCAATATATGCATATATGTTTCTGAATCACTGATGTGATTTGTGTTATTTAAAGCCGATTTCATCCCCCTAATGAAGCTGCACGTCAGTTTTTACATTCTTTATCACTAAGTTTAACCAACAAGTGACCAGAATTACACATAGTATAACATTTGGCAAGGATCAGATGCAAAACAATTAATAGAAATATAGAAAGTAAAGTAACTGACAAGGTAAATTAGTCATGTATTATGTCACACTCCAGCAGGCATGCAGAGGGATCCAGAAACATGCAATTATGTTGTACAAATGTTTTTTTAATACGAAAGAATCATTGTGCAGCTGTTTTTTTATGAAGATTTTAAGCCAAAATATGCTAATTTAAAAACAAATCATCTCCATAATGAAGCTGCATTTCAGTTTTGATATTATTTTTCACTAAGTCTAACCAATTATTTTTTTACGAATTTAGACTTTATATAACAATTGGCCAAGGTTAGATACAAAAAGGTTAATGAAATTTGAAAGTAATTTAGTAATTTCTCAATTTACATTGCAGGGGTGTATGATAGATAGGTAGACGGATGGATGGATGGATGGATGGATGGATGGATGGATGGATGGATGGATGGATGGATGGATAGATGGATAGATGGATAGATGGATAGATGGATGGATGGATAGACGGATGGATGGATGGATGGATGGATGGATGGATGGATGGATGGATGGATGGATAGATGGATGGATGGATAGGTAGATAGATGGATGGATGGATGGATAGAGAGATAGATGGATGGATGGATAGAGAGATAGATGGATGGATGGATAGAGAGATAGATGGATGGATGGATAGAGAGAGAGATGGATGGATGGATAGAGAGAGAGATAGATAGATGGATAGATGGATAGTTGGATAGATGGATAGACGGATGGATGGATGGATGGATAGATGGATGGATGGATGGATGGATGGATGGATGGATAGATGGATAGATGGATAGATGGATGGATGGATAGACGGATGGATGGATGGATGGATAGATGGATGGATGGATGGATGGATGGATGGATGGATGGATAGATGGATGGATGGATAGGTAGATAGATGGATGGATGGATGGATAGAGAGATAGATGGATGGATGGATAGAGAGATAGATGGATGGATGGATAGAGAGATAGATGGATGGATGGATAGAGAGAGAGATAGATAGATGGATAGATGGATAGATGGATAGTTGGATAGATGGATGGATGGATGGATGGATGGATGGATGGATGGATGGATGGATAGATGGATGGATGGATGGATAGAGAGATGGATAGATGGATGGATAGATATATAGATAGATGGATGGATAGAGAGATGGATGGATAGATAGATAGATGGATGGATGGATGGATGGATAGATGGATAGATGGATGGATGGATGGATGGATGGATGGATGGATGGATAGATAGATGGATAGATGGATAGATAGATAGATGCATCTGTTTCCATTTTGGGCTCTAACATCTGTTTCTGTGTCTTTGTTCCTGCAGCTTCTGTCCAACGCGGTGGTGTTCCTGTGTGGCAACGTGGTGGGAGCCTTCCATAAAGTCCTGATGGAGAAGACCCTCCGTCAGACCTTTCAGGACACCCTGAGGTGCCTCAGCATGCGCATGAAGCTGGAGATAGAGAAAAGACAACAGGTTAGTGTAACCAGAGCATTATCTGTTCACAAGGGAAGTGTCTGCAAGAAGTGTTGCTTACGATACGATACGATAATACTTTAATGGTCAGATCAAGTCTGAAATTTGACTTGCATCACAGCAGCTCCATTTGCAACATTAACAAGGACAGATATTAAGACACAATACAAGAAAAACAAACATTTAACATAAGATCACAATCGGAGAGAAACATGCTCAAAGAGCCTTTAGTGTGCATTTGACCTGGGATTGAGCTCTGTATTTATTTACTGTTGAAGTTGTCATGTAAATATGAGGGAGAAAGGTGTTATAACATCAACATAGACAAATATCAGGACACAGTACATAAAAAACAAACATTTAACATAACAGCACGATCACTGAGAGAAAACATGCTTGCATTGACTCCTGGAAAGAGAAACGAAGTTGCAACTATGGCTGCACAATTTATCCAAATTGCAATAAGCACATTTATTTGTGAAAATATCATTCTGACATAAGTATTGTTGTGCTGCAGAGAAGTCCTACTCCTTGTATTCAAAAGACAGCAAACAAACAGAGACATATCGCTTAATCTGCTATATTGTCAAAGACTGGTTGGTAATGAGTCCTACAAAAAATAGCTACACTGTCTGTAATTAAATATTTAATTTATAGAAATCATTAAAAAGGAAAATCCATTTAACATATGTAATTAAATAAAGGGAAAATAAATCAGTCAGCTTAAAGGTAGGGTAGGTAATTTTGGAGAAACCAGCACGAGTGCGCTAGAATTTGAAAATACACAGCCGGAAAAAATCTGCCACTTCCCTTACAGAGCCCCTCCTCCAACACACACGAACGCGCACATGACCAATGAGGGCACGAGATAAGTTTGTGCACAGATGGTAGGCTGACAGGCAGGTAGGCCATCCAGTTATTTTAGCCGGGCCGGCTAAAATGATTGGTCGTGCTTTTTACAGTACTACGGCTTCCACAGATGACATTTTGTTATGGATTTTTTGTCAAAGCACTTCAGATATTCATTGCTATCGGGATGTTAAGAGCATTCCATGGAATATAACAAGAAGTGTATCTCGAGCCGGTTTCTCAAACTTACCTACCCCACCTTTAAGATATAATTCATAAAAATATGAAAACATGTCATCAATGATTTGCATTACAGGTTTTGCTTACCTTTCATTTATGAAAAGAAAAAACCAAAGCAATATTTCTTTATTAAAAATAAATCAAGCATACCAACTTTTAATTTGTGGGGAGAAGCTCACAGTGTATTCTCAGCTAATGTTTGTGACGAGCATATAAATACCTTTTTGTTTTTCCACATGATCTGTATTGTAGTAACCTCTCTGGATGAAAGCAGACATTACAGATGAAAGATGAAAACAGCCATATTTTTACAATTGTATTTAATCTTTAATCTTTGCCCTTGGCTGGCCTCCTGTTGACTCTCCCATGGATGTTTTCATTGCGACAAACAAATCCCCCTGAAATTAGATTTTCCTGTGTTGCCTTTTAAATTAGATGCATCTGTGCTGGCTTGCTCTTTCCTTCAGAGGCATTTTTAAAACAAATGTCCTTCCTTTTGTCGTTAGTTGTTATGTCCGTTGCTTAGTGCGGGACCACTGGGAAGCTGGTGTGTTGCCTAGCAGGACAGAAAGGAATGAAATAACCATTAACATTTAAAACTCCTGTTGTATTTGAACTGGGGCTGAAAAAAGCGGAGCGTGTTGTTAGCCGAGGAGAACATTGACATAAAAGCACGTTAGGGGAAAGTCCAAAACCTGTCCAAGTGAGGAACTCGCGTCGTGTTCCCACATTCATCAGCAGCAGTGAACGCAGACACTCCTAAAAAATGTCTTCGCAGGGTGTGAAGGATGTCAGAAATGTCCCATAAATCAAAGTAAATGTTTGTCACTGCATGATTGAGTGACCACATGTTTCCATATGCAAGATGTGGACTATAAGTAAGTAATTAAAACAGCAATAGACAAGTTTCTTCCTAACAAGTGGTCATGTCCTCTGATTGGTTTCCTTTTTACTAATACACATTTAGCGGGTTAAAGCAATAAATATGTATTCAAATATTTATGAAGTAATTCATTCTTTATTGCTAATTGTAGTAGTAACCGTCCACACCAGTCCAGTAATAATTCAATACAAGTCGTCTTACCTATTGTAAGATGTAATATGATGTAATATGATGTAATGTCTTAATTGATACAGCACATACAGTAACCCAAACACAACAGGAATTTCTCTCGAAAGTCTGGAATATTTTGTGTATAAAACCAATACTTATTTTAGAAATCATACCCAGTGTCTTAAAAAGTGAGAGTGAGGCTAATAAGGAACGATCTAAACCCACATCATTATCCCATAACCATTACATTGTGCAAACAACATTGACTTTATAATGATACGTTAAAGCATATCACTTGTCTATTGCCTCTTGAAAGTACTTTTGTACATGGAGTAATAAAGACAAATGGATAACATTTACAGCTGCACTTCATCAGGTAACACATCCTATAGTTTCCCGCCTCCCTCTCTACAAAGAGCACTATATGAGAGGGGAGTTTCCCTGCTTCAGACTCAGTGGAAAACTAAAAGCGTCATTTGAACTTTGCAAGAGGTCAGCCAGAGTGAATGGAAGCAGTTCAGGTTGCAGCTGAGACACACACACACACACACACACACACACACACACACACACACACACACACACACACACACACACACACACACACACACACACACACACACACACACACACACACACACACACACACACCATGTATACATCACTTCAGGGGACATTGGAGACTTATCCTAACCTTAACCATAACCAACACATGCCTAACCCTAACCCTAACCAAGTCTTCACCCTAAAATTAATGATACCCCTCATGGGGACCTCCATTATGTCCCCATAAGGGGGGCGAGTCCCCACACGTGACTGTGTAAACAGATTTAGGTCCCCACAAGGATGGTAATGCTAGGCCACACACACACACACACACACACACATTCTTATAGAGGACACATACCCTAACTTGTAAAGTCAACTTCAATTATGATGTTTATTTTACTCATTTTAAAAATGTATCAAAAAGCTGGAATGCTTTCAGTCCAAACACATTCACGTCTTTGCAATAACACCCTCAAATTAGGATAAGGTGCAATTGTATTCCTTTGAGTCGAAGTCTGTGCCACCTGGAGAGGGTCCAGAAACCCTCCAGGGAAATAAAGGCTTTGTTACGGCCCACTTGGCTTCTTCAAAAGACACTTGGAAATGTCTGACGTGTTAAAGCAAAACATCGCATGGTCTAATGAACATTTATCTGAAACCGTGTCAAAAGCAGCAGTTCATCCTGTCAAAGGTGTAGGGGTGTTTTCAGGTAAATGGACTCGCAAAATAAGTAAATGCAAAATATTCTGCAGGCGTTTTTATCTCGGTTAGGCGAATGTGTATCATGGCTGTCTGTCAGCAGCTAATCTTGCACATTACTGGATGTAAAAACCTAATATTTGTAGTATTGACTTCTTGTGGTTGCGAGAATTACATTATATATAATACATTTTTCTTTAATTGTTTTATACAGGATATGAACCACTGATTATCAATCATCCAAACCAGCATGTTGGTGCTGCTAGTGATCAATATCTGCTTCAGTAGCTAAATAAATTCCTGACAATCATCTGAAGTAAAAACAAGCCTCACCTACATGCAGTCTGTTGCGATCCAAATGTGGGACTTTGTTGTGGATAAATAATGCACATCCATTAAATGTTTGGTCTCATTTAGAATGGGAGAATCTGGAGATCAATTCAATACCTGATATGTTATGATCCACTAAAGTAAGGGATGATTCAAAATGAATAAATACTACTTGATGTAATCTTAAATAAGTTTAAGATGAAGAAGATGATGGCGACAATTGAATTAATTTCATCTTTTATGTGAGGGGGGAAAAGCGTCTGGCAAAAACACTGCCCTGTACTGTGCGCACGTGTTTCTTTCATATAAAAACAATAGGACTTAACGTCCAAATAGTTTAAACAAGAATGTGAATACCCTTTGATATCACTTTAATGACTGGCTCATCCCACCTGATCTGCCTCGAGGAAATAATAAAGAAGGATTAGGGATAAAGTATTAGAAAAACCCATATTTCATTAGCTGAAGTTCATATTTATGACGCACAGGATATGCTTGAATGCCTTAAAATGAGAAATATTTATATGAGTTTCAAGCGTAGAGCTATTTTATATTTTTCCCTTGATTCTGATTGGCTGAGCCGCTTTCAAAACGTACTTAACACTCTGTAAATAGACTGCTTTGACTACATACATTAGTATCACTGTTTGGATGTACAGTATTTGTTGTATTGAAACCTGTATGAAGTAGTTTTACATAATAGTGCCCCCAAAACTCCAGATTGGTGCTAGGACTTACAAATAAAAACGGTCATTGTCCACTTGGTGTGTTCAGCCAAATGTTACAAGCTGTGTGTGTGTGTGTGTGTGTGTGTGTGTGTGTGTGTGTGTGTGTGTGTGTGTGTGTGTGTGTGTGTGTGTGTGTGTGTGTGTGTGTGTGTGTGTGTGTGTGTGTGTGTGTGTGTGTGTGTGTGTGTGTGTGTGTGTGTGTGTGTGTGTGTGTGTGTGTGTGTGTGTGTGTGTGTGTGTGTGTGTGTGTGTGTGTGTGTGTGTGTGTGTGTGTGACTGTGTGACTGTGTGACTGTGTGTGTGTGACTGTGTGTGTGTGACTGTGTGTGTGTGATCACGATCACGTATATAGAGTGCCACCGTCTGGAAATAAGCCCAATTTCCTGTCTCACCTAAATAGCAGTTATGCAACTAATTGTGTGTGTTGTGTCTCTCTGTGTGTGTGTGTGTGTGTGTGTGTGTGTGTGTGTGTGTGTGTGTGTGTGTGTGTGTGTGTGTGTGTGTGTGTGTGTGTGTGTGTGTGTGTGTGTGTGTGTGTGTGTGTGTGTGTGTGTGTGTGTGTGTGTGTGTGTGTGTGTGTGTGTGTGTGTGTGTGTGTGTGCAGGAGAACTTGCTGCAGTCTGTGCTTCCTGTCTACATCTCCATGAAGATGAAACTTGCCATCATGGAGCGCCTGCAGGACTGTAAGGACAAAGAGGAGCAGCAGCGCCTCGTCAAAGACAACAACTTCCACAGTCTGTACGTCAAGAGGCACGAGAACGTCAGGTACGACCCAGAGAACACTCATTAACACATGCAAAGCTATCGATGTGTTGATTTATCGATCATTAAATGGCCCTTCTCACCTCATCGGGAAGCTTTATTCCCTCGGTTAAAGTATGCACTCAGGGGAGGGTGTTATTGATCAGCCATTAAGACCTTTTCAGGGACATTTTTAATTGGCAAATAATCAATGGAAGTATATCGACTTGTACTGCTTAGAGTCTGTAATAAAAGAGAGGTCTCTCCAGACACTTTTCAAACTTAATAAGCTTGCTTTTTTATGATTTATTTTCCCTATCCGTCTCCTTTATCTGCAGTTTCATAAATCCTCAGTCGTTCACAGGGAAACTTGTATTTTCTGTTCACTTCATTAAAAGTATATAAAGCACAAAAACAAAAATATGAAACTCCACCTAAGGAGAAACATCTCAGAGATTTTATGCTTTTTCTATGAATTCGTTATGAAAAACATGCAAAAAGTGCACAAAAAAACACATATTTCTCTCAACACTTTTCATAACGATGGAGATTAGTACGTCATTTGGTTTTCAGCGCATTAACCCAGTTATGGCTCTTTGTTTTACGAGGGTTTTATTCATTTAGCAAGTGCTGACAGATTTTGGGTCGGCTTAAAGTGAACTTTGGCAGATGGCACACCAGCTCGTTTTGTTTTTTTCACAGAGTAGGTAGGCGAAATACAGCCTCTGCCTTATTGTAATAAGGAACTGGCATTATAGTGATTTTTAAGAGGAAATGAATACACTAAGAAGGCTTAGTTGTGGATTTGATTATGCAAATGTATGTCTGTTCCGAACAGATACACTGAAAAGACATAAAATCCAACTCCAATGACCACAAAAATAGCCAAACACACAGAAAATGTGAAATGCTAGAAGGCAATGTTGTCTTCTAGAAGATTAGGACACTAAACCTTTGGTCTTTGCTCATCAACAGGTCATTGTGAAGGCATCAGTCATGTTTGCTGCTATGTTCATTTAGTAAAAGGTGTTGAATGACAGACTGCCACACTGACTCATCCCTGTAATTACTGCAGACGCTCATTATCTGAGCTTCTGTCTCATGGAGCAGCTCGACGTGTTCAGAAACAGCTGCTGTGTTTCTCTGCTGGACAACAGAATGGTTTAGTTTGACTTTTACCCATCTTTTCTGTGCTGGATAGATGTGGTCATTACAAGTACAATTGCATGTTTTACATGTAGTGCATTATGGATAACTGCACACACACAAACAACTTGGTTTAGTTTAGTTTAAATGAGAATTGAAGAAAATAATGAATATAAAAAGGGGAATATTTAAGTGTAATAAAGCTAAGGCTTCGTACTATACTTTATTTCCCGGTCAGTTTACTTTAGTTTGTCAATATTTTAGTATATAATACACTGTATATATAAGTAATAACCTATAATGGTTCATTTAATACATGTTTTAGGGTCGTTTTTTGTCTAAATGTGTCATGATTATAATTAATAATCATAATAATTTATTTTAAATGAAAGAAAGAAACTAAATTACATTTAAAAAAATATAATTTATACCTCAAAAGTCTAAAAATAAAATGTATATTTACATCACAATTTATTTTGTGTGCAATCCTAGTTTCTCTCTAGATGTATATGCATAGTTAGAAAATGAGATAACCAAAGAGAAATTAAATATATAACTTGAAAAAATACTTAAAGCTCCCATGTCATGCTTTTCCGGTTATTACCCGTCCCCTTGTGTGTTATGAAGGTTTTTATGCATGTAAACGGTGTGCAGAGTCAAAACCCTCAAAGTACACCCTGTAGCGAGTAAAACTCTAACACAGAAAATACCTCCCCAAAACGCCTCGTTGGAGATACGTCACTGCCCATTTGATTCTTCCGGGTACCGCCTGATGTCATGCGGTACCCGGAACGAAATGGACCAATCCCGAAGAGCCGTTAAGTTACGTCCGCGGAGCCGTTACGTTAAGCCCCCGCTGATTGGTCCAAATTGACCGATCCACGGACTTCCTCACACACACATCTGTGTGCAGGGAGCAGGCAGCTCAGCTGATTTCTCCTCCCTGGCTGCAGGCTGATAACAGACAGTTGGGATCGCTGCAAAATTCTCTCTGCAGACCCATTCTCACAGCGTTTATCAACCTTTTTCTTACTCAATATCAAGCCACACTTATTGTTTTTACTTCGGATGTGAGTTTGTGTGTGCTCAGGATGAGTTTGGCTGTGTTTCGCTATGTATCCTAAACAAGGAAGCAACACCTCCACGGAGCTCAGCGCGATTCACAACGTCCCGACCAATCAGAGCACACTGTGCTCACAGGGAGGGTGGGGGCTGGAGCTATTGGAGCTACAACGAGCCGTTAAAGGCAAATAGTGAAATTCAGTGAATACACGTAGTTTACAGAGATGCTGTATGAGAAACCAATGTGAGTTTGGAAAAATGCACAGTATAAATCTATTTTAGTAGACCTCAACAATGGAATTATGATCAGTGGAAATGGCCATGACACCTCTCCTTTAACATTAATTATTTTGTACAATTCTCAATACGTGGATACGCTGAATATACACAAGAAAGAAAGAGTATTACACTTTTCCACCATTTTAAAGGGTGTTATTTGCTCTTATTTACGTGCGCTTGCTGTCCTGTAAAGGAGAACACGATGCTCTCGGGGGGATTACTTTGCAAATGTTGTATTTTCCGTCCCTGCTGTCAGACGACGTGTAAAGACAGGAGGCGTTCAGGTGCTTCTGCCAAACGTCCAGCTGGTGACGGGTCTGTCGGAGGTCAGAGGAGAAAACACTGGCCTTCTGTGCTCCGGCAGCTTTAATGATGTCTGTGATTCAGCTTTGAACCAGACAGGCTTTTTAATCCGTCACTGATCAGGTCCATCGGAGGTTAATGGGGTGACGCTCGGAGCCTTTCTGCCTGAAGTCCTGCGCCCCAATTCAGAGGCTGTAATGGGTCGTAATGGGCCGGTGAGGGAGGGCGGAGGAAATCAACATTTAAAGGACACAAATGCTTTAAGCTTTTTGTCCTTAATTTGCTTTAATGCATTTAATGTTATTATTTGCTGGTAGCAGACACATTCCAACTGCATTACAATTATTTCTGTATTTAAATATTTATTTAATTGTATTAGTTTTTGTTATTTATCCATTTTATTTCATTTTTTATTTATTTTTTCATTTTATTAACTGATTCTCAGAAATGCAAAATCTCACTATCAGTTTCGACAAGGTCACAGCAAATACATGTATTTGTTATTATTTATTTGGTACCACTTTACAATAAGACTAGCCTTATAAAGGGTTTACGAATAGTTTGTAATTAATTTATTAATTAGGTTGTGAACACTTTATAAATCATTAATAAGCTTTTATAAGACATGAGATAAACAGGGCAACTGTGACCGGTTGCTTGCCAAATAGTGAGCCCACATTTATCTGTACTGCTAAGTCTTATATTGGCTACCTAGCTTACTTTGTCTTCTTCATAAGCCAGCATCCTTGGTATCTGTTGCTCACTGAGTTGATTCTCGCTAATGGCGCATTTCCACTGCAGGGCCTCGCACGGCTTAGTACAGTATAGTTAGGCCTTGGTAGTCCAGGCTCACTTTATGCTGCGTTTCCATTACAGTTTAGTAGCTGGGGCAGTAACTATAGTAACGCAGTGTAGGCGGAGCCGTGACGTCATCTTCAATGCGAACCACAGAAAAACAACATCAGCCGTTAGCTGTTAGCACTCAGAGCTCACAGCTCCTCACATCTGTTCAGAAACTAGACAAAAGTGAAACAAGTACAAACCACAGACTGCCTGTGTCATGGCGAATACAGTCGCTGGTTTATTTATGTCTGTATAGGCCGTTGTTGTGAGTGTGGACGGTCGGAGCATATACAACGTTAGCTTAGCCGATCTCCATTCAGAAAACACGCATTTTAAAAGGTTTTTCGTCTGCCGTCTGTCTGCAGACTTGTCAAAGCATTAATTCATGGTTTTTACTAACCGGTATCAGTATGTTGTTACTTCGGCATCATTTTGAAACGTGTATTACAATTAAATCACGGTCAAATATGTTCATTTTGTTGTAGTTGTAGCCCCCTTGGCAGCGATTCTCTCACTAGTTTAGCATGCTCAGCCCGACTCAGCCTGGTTGTTGGCCCGCTAAGAACCTTGATTTTGGAGGGCCAGAAAAAAGGTGAAAAAGTAGCCGGAACTACCCCTAGTGGAAAAGAAAAGAAAACTGGCCGGGTTTGGCACAGCACGCTTAAACCGTGCTACGCGCTGCAGTGGAAATGCGCCATAAGTAGCCAATATAAGGCTTAGTCATCTTGCCAAATAGTGAGCCTGTGTTGATGTATGAAAACTGTTAGAACTAGTTTTTAATTTGGTTGTACCTGGTGAAATGACGATAAAGGGAAACTGTTCTGTTCTATTTGCATTTTAAGAAATTATATTGTTACAGGGCATTCATAACAAAATAATATACAGTGAAGAAAAAGAACATCAAATATTGAAAACAATTGAAATAAGAAAGGTACAATTGTATAATCTCAGAAAACATTACATTTTTTTTCTTGTAAATGTGCAAGTTTTATTATATTTTTAAAACTTCTATCTAAGTGTATCCAAGTTTTTTTCCTGAAAGTAATGCTTTATTTTGTAATATTGCCTCCCTCCCAGTTGCATAAATATGTATTATTTTAACCTACATCGGCCCTAATTTACCGTCATCGTTGTAAACTGTCTAATTTGTATAATTTCTTTCTTGCAGTATTCTGTATGCCGACATCGTTGGCTTCACGCAGCTGGCCAGTGACTGTTCTCCCAAAGAGCTCGTCATCATGCTCAATGAACTGTTTGGAAAATTTGATCAAATTGCCAAGGTGAGTAAACATTATTGTGTCATTATTACAAAAAAGCCACCACCCTCTAAGGCCTCTAAGCTGATGTTGACAGTTTACGACTCATAGAGTAACAATACAAAGATTACAGTGGTGAGATTTCTGATAAACCTCACACTGGCTGGGAAATCTGTGTTAAACAAGGAAACACTCTCTCCTTATCACCACCACCAAAGCACTCAGTAATCAAACACTGTGTATTGATTGACTCCCATGTGTTGCCATGTGTACACGCACTGCTTACCCACAATTGAATGCAACCAGTTTGTTTCTATTTGCATTAAACCAGGCCAGTAACCAGGTTCCCTCTCTTCTATCCTGTATCCATTAAAGGAAAATGAATGCATGAGAATCAAAATCCTGGGAGATTGCTACTACTGTGTGTCGGGGCTGCCGGTGTCTCTGCCTAGACACGCCAAGAACTGCGTCAAAATGGGCCTGGACATGTGTGAAGCCATCAAGTGAGTGTGTGCCGACCGATACACCTTCATAATCTGACTGAAACATATAGAGTCCTGCAGGGATATCTGTATGCCATCCAAATTTGCATCATGCTTTCTCGCTTGACAACAACCAAAAGGCATTTTTCCATTGAGGAAATTAGCTCTGAGGCTAACAAAGGTTTGTGATACTTACACGTTTTGTTCCACAAGATAATCTTCACACAATAACGTGATGCAGAAGCAACATAAGGCTCTCAATGAAGTACATTTCATTAGATCAACCTCTAAGCAGATGAGTGTGATGACGTTGAATGTACCCAAAAACGTTGGTCGTCTCAGTTAGCTACTTGTTAGCATCCGCCTTTTTTTAAGACACTATAAAACATAAACAATACATAACAAAATCTTGAACAAAACGTCAACATCTTTTAAGCTTGTGTGTAGCTAAGAAAGAAGTGGAGGACAGAAGAATCGATCGATGAAGCCAATTTTACACTGGAGATTTTGTTTTCCTACATTGTTCTTTCTTGAACAATCTGGCAGCGTCACTGTGTGCTATGCTATCGCTTTTTGTTGTTAGTTTGGCTTTTTGGGAGAAAAACAAAGCCTTATTTCAGTCATCTCACCAAATTCATTAAATCCATTGACTTTCTAACGAGGGAACAGGAAGTGCAAAAATGCTAACTAATTTCTGTGTTTCAGGACTCTTTTTTTTGGACTAGTCTGGTTAACTCTTAAACAAAATGTGATAGGTACACTTAGGTCATGGATGATTTGTGTCAATAAAGTGTTAAAAGCCATTTGTGGAGATTCATTTAAATGTTTTCCCCCCAAAAAATAGAAAGAGTGGATCTCGGGTTTAGGGAATGACAGTTTAAAAAATGTCTACAGTGATGCCTAGATATGCACAAGTACAAAAATGACATTATTACAACAGTAGGTAAATCTCAGCAAGTATTGACACATGGAAAGTCCCATAGACTGCATATAGAAACAACCTTCAACAGCAATTAGCTTTACTCATATTGTGATGTCTTCCTTTTAATGTGCGTAAAGAGCATGTTCTGCATACAGGAACAACATGGAGAATAGCTGTATTAATAATAATGAATCTCTTGCAGGCAGGTGCGTGATGCCACAGGAGTGGACATCAACATGAGGGTGGGGGTGCACTCGGGAAACGTGCTCTGCGGCGTCATCGGCCTCCGAAAGTGGCAGTTTGACGTGTGGTCACATGACGTCACGCTGGCCAATCACATGGAGTCTGGAGGCCTTCCTGGGTACGTCGTATTACTTGAGTGATATATATATCTTTGTACATGTTTATATATACCTCCGCGACCCGACCACGGATAAGCGGGAGAAGATGGATGGATGGATGTTTATATAACATATTATGGTATTATTCTATACAACTCTCTCCTGTGACAAATGTTGTTTTGTAGATCTGTAATTAGTTTACTTTGAGCTTCAGAAATCTTACCATCAAACTCTAGCTTGTATCTTAGAAGTTTTAAAATAAAATTATACAATGTTTTTAAATATCGCAAGCTCCTAATTTTAAATTCTGTTTTCAGTTTTTGTTGCACATATGCCATTATGTTTTGTAATGTAGTTTCACCAGGGACTAAGTAGACATATCGGATGCAATATAAACATTATTATTGGTCATCCATACACAGGTATGATACACAAAGCAAGTCTTCAGAAAAGTGTCTCAAGGGATAAATGTTGGATGGACGTTTGCCTGTCTTATCAAATAAAGAGGAAGAGGAAAAATAAATGTAAAATACAATATACCAAGATAAGCATTTGAATCTCTCTCATGCTCTCTCCTCTCTCTTCAGTCGTGTTCACATCACAGAGGCGACTCTGAAGCACCTGAATAAAGCGTACGAAGTGGAGGATGGAAACGGCCACCTCAGAGACCTTTACCTGAAGGAGAGCAACGTCCAGTCGTACCTGGTCATTGATCCTCGGGTGAGTACTCTACTTTAAAGGTCTCTAATTATGTAAAATCCACTTGTTCATGTCTCTTCTACATCAACATGTGTCCCCTCTGTGTAAAGAGATTCTGAAAGTTTCAGGAACAAAGATTCTCTCACTTTTTGTCCTGATCCATTTATATAAAAACCTGTCTGAAAATGAGCTGATCAGATTTTGGCCACTTTATGATGTCATAACGATTTTTTTGGCTTGTGTAACCATTAGCCAATCACCAACCAAGGTAACCCCCCCCCCCCCACCTTATCACCTGAATCTCCTCCTAGAGCACCATTGTGTTCTTTTTAACCAAATATCTCTCAGAGGGGCGTGGGAAGGGGCTCCTTATTTTCATCTAAAGTAACAGACAGAAAATCAGCACTTTTGAAACAGGGCTGAAACAGAGGGGATTATGGGATGCTGCAATGATCTGTTTGGTGTTTGGAGCCAAACACTTCAGAGACATGTTCTGTATATATCTGAGACCTATAATATATTGATGAAAAACAGTATGATCGGGGACGTTTAAGAAAGAATGAGAAATGTGTTTCATTTTGAAAGCTAAGTGACCCTGTGTGTGTGTGTGTGTGTGTGATGTGTGTGTGTGTGTGTGTGTGTGTTGTGTGTGTTGTGTGTGTGTTGTGTGTGTGTGTGTGTGTGTGTGTGTGGTGTGTGTGTGTGTGTGTGTGTGTGTGTGTGTGTGTGTGTGTGTGTGTGTGTGTGTGTGTGTGTGTGTGTGTGTGTGTGTGTGGTGTGTGTGTGTGTGTGTGTGTGTGTGTGTGTGTGTGTGTGTGTGTGTGTGTGTGTGTGTGTGGTGTGTGTGGTGTGTGTGTGTGTGTGTGTGTGTGTGTGTGTGTGTGTGTGTGTGTGTGTGTGTGTGTGTGTGTGTGTGTGTGTGTGTGTCTAAGTCTAAGGACCCGTCGTTGAACAGCCGCAATGCCGTTAAACCTCGAGTGAACGACGGTCTGAAGATGAGGGCGTCGGTGAGAATGACTCGATACCTGGAGTCCTGGGGGGCCGTCAAACCTTTCGCCCACCTGCAGAACCGAGAGGGCTTCACCCCGGAGGCTATCGTCAACGGGAAGTCACGCCTCAAGGTGAGCAGAGGAGGGAAGTAGTGGAGTACAAATACTTTGTTACTGTACTTAAGTACATTTTTCTGGTATCAGTACTTTACTCCACTACTTATTTTTCTGACGACTTTTTACTTTGACTTCTTACATTTTGAACACAAATACCTGAACTTTCTACTTCTTTCATTTTGAACCCAAATACCTGAACTTTCTACTTCTTTCATTTTCCAAACAGGCTGGTTCCTTTAGTTTGAATGTGTGTTTGGTGGCGTGATCATTATTATTTAGAGTCATTGCGTGCCTATTGATTTGAACACGATCCGTGTATCCATCATTTCCTGGTCTTCTCTAAAGAAGAGGGACCAATGAAAACGTTGTCATGTTGCCGTTGTTCAGCATGGAAACATTCATTAGCTAACAATGACATTATTGTTCTATTAATATAAAGGGAGGTCAGGTACTCTTTAAAACAGCTGCTAGTTATGGGTACTTTTTACTTAAGTACATTTTGAAGCCCTGTTTACTTTTACTTGAGTAAAGAAGTTTAGTCAGTACTTCTACTTTTACCAGAGTATTTTTAAACACGGGTATCTGTACTTCTACTTGAGTAAAGGATGTGTGTGCTTTTTCCAGCCCTGAAGGTGAGAAGACAGACATTATTAGATGGCTTTATTTACTATATTACTTACCTTCTCCTGAGTTAAACAATGCATGAAGTTGCCACGTAAATTATTTGCTATAGGAGGTTATTTGTTTAGAATTGATTCTTATAATCTTCTGATGAATGCTTGCACACAATCGAGTGACGAAGGAATGAGTTCTATGAGAGCCTGAAATAAGGGTCTGTGGTTAACACAAGTTTATGAGATTTTCACGTGTATTCTACGACATTAAAATACATCAGTAAACATCCTGTAGCTTTAAAACGGCGTTTGCTAACAAGTGACTAAATGAGACGACTCAACATCATCACATTAGCCGCCTTTAGCTTAGCAGTGGAGAGGGGAGTCGTGTGATCGTGGTGAAGTTTCCTTTAAAGCCTAACATTAGCTTTTTAGTCCTGGAGATTTAATTAGATAAGTTTGGATTAGATTGACTTTATTGTTTTTCCTTATTGTATTTATTTGAACAAGGACCATGCATACAAATACATTCATCTCAGACAAGAGAAGAGCCAGATTTAAGCTAATAGCTCATTTCCATCTGCAGTCCTTAGGTACAGTAGGTACATAACAATCAACACTAAAAACATTGCATAATCTCTATCACACAAACAATTATAAAACAGATTAAAGTACAGGTCTTGTCTTTCACTTCTCCAAGTACAGCAAAGGTGTTTACAATACACATAAAACACCATTAATTCATAGAAATATAAAATATACAGTAGTGAAGATGGGTATGTAGCAGCAATAATGCCCCTTTCACACCAAGGCTTTTCCCGTTCTAGCTTCGTGCTAGAGCTTTTCTGGTTCGGAACCGGTTCTTCGGTTCAGCTCCCGCTCTGTTCACACCGCTCAGAGCCCGACTGGTGCTGCGTCATTGCGTCATCGTTTGCGTCATGATGTAACCGCTTGCGTGCCTGCTTCATAAAGCCAAACCGCGCGGAACCCCCTCACATCGACAACAACAGCAATGACCAATTGTATTGAAGCGCTACTCGTTTTGGTTTTGCTCTGTCGAAACGAAATGGAAGAAATGGGACGACTTTACTACCAACTTTACAGTCGTTACATGCTACATTCAAAAGTTCTTTGGACCGCGTGCTCCCCTCCAGCTTCCTCTGTACCTCTTCGGAAGACCAGATTCCCAGTAGGTAGCTGGTCTCTTCAGTGGACCACTGCTGCTTGTTAAGTTTTAGGTTTTCCATCGTTGTGTACAAACTAGATAAAACGCAGGCTTTTTGTTGTTGTTAGAGGTTGATCCCGCCCCTGCCCCCGCCTCCGACGTAAGCGTGACGTATACGGTGCTTGCTTTCTAGACCGACAACTTTTTGGTGCTTGAAACGAACCGGATTCCGGAGCTTAAAGGCGACTCCGCTGCGGTGTAAACAGGAAAAAACTGTGCTTTTCAAGCTCCTGCTCCGAACCGGCCCTGGAACCGCGTTGGTGTGAAAGGGGCATTAGTGTTTTCTTGTGAAAAAGTTGCATAGGTGGAATTTCAATGTGTTCAGACTTCAACACTTATATTATCTTGTGTCTTTATTCTTATTATTCATATGTTTTTTTCCAGGACATCCCTCTACGGTCTACCATCTCCAGGATCACTGAGAGGTAAGAACGACACTTAATTGGATTTTTGCCAACATCGATATCTTGCAATTCAGACATAAAAATACAATGCTTTTCAAAAGCGTACACATTCACCAGGAGAAATAAGAAAACGTCTTGGAACATGTACTGTGAAACATGCCATATTTATTTTAATGTAACACGATTAAAATGTTTTTAATGCATCCTACTTAAAATAATTCGACCCGTTTTAAAAGTTGCTAATCAATGTCAATGTCGCAGAAATGCAATTCCCTTGTATCTCTTTATTTTTTAACGCTGTTTCGGACACTTTAAAAAACCTTTACAACGCAGACATATTTTTCTTTTTGCACTTACTTTACAAACGTTTGCAAACACGTCAATTTATTGGACATATTTGATCTGCTGAAACCAAATACATGCAGATATCGTGCAACTTAAAAAAAAAACAATAGCTGCTAATAATGAATTCACATGTTGAGTCTCCATTTGTGACTTTTGATTATTTACCTGCTTATTAAACTATAACACACACACTCTTGCTGGAAGGCGGACCATGTTAACATCACTGTTGCTCAATAATGTGTTCAAATGATTTCCATCAACTCTCCTGCCAGGACTTTCCTGAATCTTCATCATCTCATCACTCCGTCACATTTCATTAACTATCATTTCTATGTGAGAGGATATTTTAGGCATTATGTGTAATATATAGGATGTATACTTCTCATGGGAGCTTAGATATTGTGATGGAAAAATAATGGGTGAGCATTATCAGAATCCAGAGTAACGTCAGACAACTTGTATATTTATATGTTCATACATGTTATCTATTTTGGGATACCATTACAGGTTAAAATAATACACATTCAAACTGATATTCTTAGTTGATTGCGTCCATTATAGTGTTAATTCCGTTGACTAAAACTATGACGAAATATGTTCGTCAACAACCTTTTTTTCCATGACTAAAACGAGACGATGACGAGACGGCACCGACGGCAGTAAACAATAACTGTAACGAAATCAACATGCAATATAGTTGACGAAAAGTGACGAGACGAAAACGTAGTTTACTAAATAAAAACTTTGCCAAAATCTCTCTTTACTTTCGTTGACGAAAAATGAGGAGATAACGTTACATCTCTGATAGTCAGTTTTTCTCCCGGCAGTTCCATTTCTGGTGCTGCGGCTGGGCAGCAGCTGTGTGTCTGTGCTGCGCGCGGCGGCACATTTGAATTACACCGGGCAGCGGCACACTGTGAACTGTCAGGAAGACTCGGGTCTAACTCATGGTCTAACTAACCTTATTTAACTGAAAGGGAAATGGCAACAACAGGGCTTGGGAGCAGTGGTCGCGTTAACCGAATAACCCGCCCGTCAGCGCGAGTGAGTGACGAGTTGTGTACAGACAGGTAATAATGGATTATGACGGAAATGTCACGATCCTGTCCGTCAAAATGACTGACAACGAAAAAGTCTAAAGCCACCACTGCTTGGGAGAAAGCAACGATGTGATATTTGGGCCCATTTTCGCTACAATGAGGCGGAGAAAAAAAGCGAATGCATTGTTTTATCAGAAGGGAAGCAATGTGGCCATAACACAGCTGGTAAAAACACCACAAACCTGACCAGATACTCTCTGCAAAGCTGCATTCTTAATCATTCAACCCGTGGTTTTCATCAAATAAGGACAAGATATAATCTTATTGTGAAATAAGTTTGACTAAAATGACAAATTATTGGTTTTGGCTAGACTAGTTTGACTGAAATGTTCTATATAATCTGATGACTAAAAAAGACTCAACAGTTTTCATTGACAAAAAGTAGACTAAAATAATTAGTTTTCTTTGACTAAAATAAGACTAAAATGCTCAGACTTTTAGTCGACTAAAACTTGACTAAATAAAAACAGGATGAAGGTGACTAAATATGACTAAAACTAAAAAGGAAATTTAACACAGGACTAAGACTAAAACTAAATTAAAAAAATAGCTGACAAAAGTAACACTAGTCCATTAAGACCATATTTTTTGTTTTTATGACATTTTATGCCTCAATATGTAAAATAAGTATATTTTTGTTAAATCAAATCACATCAAAGTTTATGTATATAGCCCAATATCACGTAAAACACGTTTACCTCAGTGGACTTGCAAACAATAAAATGACAGGAAAATAATGGAAAGACATGATACAAAAGTGTAAAATACAAATAGAAATAAATTGAATTAAGATACAAGAAAAGACAATACAAATACAATTAAACAATAAAATAAAATACCACAAAATGTAGGAACCAGGATATGGAATAATCTGAAACCAGCTCCAACTAAAGGCTTTGTTGAAAAGGAAGGTCTTCTAAAAAGATGCATACATTTCCATGACAGAGATGTCAAAGTCTTGTAAAGCCACGATAACTTAACAAATTGTTTCATTTTGAGGACACGTTATAGTCCAAGGTTTTTACGGAGGATGTTTTTGATATCTCTTTGTAGATAAATCACAAAATACTTCCAAAAGCCATGAATGAAAATGTATTTTCACCATGTTTTTAGTAATTAAATGTTCTATCAGGCTATGACGGATATAAGAACAAAACCTTCAGAATACAGAGAGAAATGAAACTGGAAGGCTTGGTGTACGTCAGTGCTACTGAAATGGAGATATAAAAGCATGAGAAACTAATTATTTTTGAAGCCTTGAAAGATACATACTGCAAAAACACTTTGCAAAACAGAACTGGTGAATAGAGTGAATGTCAACATAACAATTAACCTAGTTGCCTTCTTACATTACAAGTTTGCTAAAATATGTTTGAATGTGCAAATGACGCTTTACCTTTGCCCCAAGTCTTAAAGAAAAGCAAAACTGTCCAACTCTTAATATTGAGTGATGTTATAAGTAATGCTTTGCCTGTAATGTGTTGAGGGTTTAATATAAAATGATTTAAAATGAGCAGGCAGGATGTTAAAGGTCCCATGTCATGCTTTTCTGGTTATTACCCGTCCCCTTGTGTGGTATGAAGGTTTTTCTGCATGTAAACCGTCTGCAGAGTCAAAAACCCTCAAAGTACACCCTGTAGCGAGTAAAACTCTAACACAGAAAAGACCTGTCGCTGCCCCAGAACGCCTCGTTGGAGATTTCTCTTTTTCCATTTGTTTCTTCCGGGAACCAAAATGGACCAATCCGCGGAGCTCCTCACACACCAGGACCTTTAGCGTACATTTTAAACTAACAGGGCGTCCCATTGACTTGCATAGAGCTCCCTGAACGCTGGTAATAGAGGAGTTGGGATGGCGGAGAAATGCTCTCCGCAGACCCATTCTCACAGCGTTATAAACCTTTTTCTTACTCAATATCAAGCCACACTTATTGTTTTTAATTCGGCTGTGAGTGTTTGTGTGTGCTCAGGATGAGTTTCGCGCTGTCTCGCTGTATCGCCGACCCGGAAACCACACCAGTAAGCCAGCTCACTGAGCAGCGAGCCTCGCAACGTCCCGACCAATCAGAGCACACTGGGCTCACAGGGAGGGGGGGGCAGGAGCTCCAACAAGCCGTTTAGGACAGAGAGTGAATACACATACTATACAGAGATGCTGTTTGAGAAACCAATGTGAGTTTGGAAAATTGCACAATATAAATATATTTTAGTATACCTCAACAATGGAATTATGATCAGTAGAAATGGCCATGACATGGGACCTTTAAGTGTTTTTGAATTTATAAGATATAAAACAGACTAGTGAAACAGTTTGTAAATCAAATGTTATTTGACAGTAAATCAGCATATGTTTCCAAAGGCAAAGGGAGTGTTCGAGGAGTTTCAATAAACATTTTCCAATAGAACCTTGACAGCGTGGGTCATCTGAGTTCAGCTGTGATTTGGCAGAAGCCCTCTTCATCAACTTATGCATGGACAAATTGGTTTGCCGTACTTAATGTTAGATTGTCCTTTGGACGACAATTTAAAGTGTAGCGACTGATCAATATCTACACAAACAGCGTGTGCTGCAGTTATGTGATTAGAAAAGATAAGTGTGTGTGCCTAAAAGCATAATCCTTCCTCCCTGTGAGAGCGGAAACTTGTTTTACATCGGAAATTGTTCATTTCATTCATGTGGGCAGCAGCCAGTGTCTGAGGTAACAGTGAAGCTGGAGGACGTTACACAGCAGGGTTTATTATGTCCGTGGTTGAACGTAGGACTAGGCAATATATCAGTTTTATATCAATATCATGATATGAGAGTAGACATCGAAATGTGGCATGAATATTGTCTTTTCCTGGATTGAATAGCTAAATCACAGTAGTGGTGTAATTCTTCTAGTTTGTAGTATTTGTCCTACCCACAGAGGCATTATATCCACATCACTGACTGTGATTACGTCAGATTATGAACCATCAATAGTCAATACTGTCACAAAATCAATTAAAGTGCTCTGAGCACCAGGAAAAGGGCTATATAAATAACATTATTATTGATATCAAGGTATTTGGTCAAAGATAATGTGATATTTGTTGCCGTATCCCTGAGCCCAAGGTAACACAAATGCTATTATTTGCTGCTTTTGGATGTTTTTTAATACATTTTTCTATAAGTGGCCCTGTAATTGTCATGCCTCTGCACCTGGAAAGCCATGGCTAGAGGATTTTTGTTTTTAGTTCTGTCCATTCTCGTAAATATCTTGATATCTCGGGAATACCTGGAAAGACTTTCTTCAAATTTGGAGAAACCATCCACTTGGACTCAAGGATGATCATGTTCAAACGTTGTGGTCAAATGAAGGGCTGAAGGATTTGGAAAAAAAGAATGAATTGCAATTGTTATGACTGATATTGAAATTGCGATATTGGAGGGAATGATTTACGCTTCAAGTGCCTTTACAAAATATATTGCGCATACTTGTTTTGTATATTGGGTTAGTCCATAGTGTGATAAAGTTGATGTGAAGCCCTTTTCAAATGTCAAGGTCATGGTAACCTTTCAATATATGTTTTTGTTTCAAAGCCCAAGAATCAATACACTCATTATGAACATTCACACAGATGTCTAATGAGGACATTTCTGTAAACGGCAACGTGGTTGGTTGGTGGAGGCGTGAAATCCATCAGTCAGTTTTTTTGTTTCTTTGGCTATATAGTGCCTTTACAAGATATTGTGCATACTTTGTTTTGTATATTGGGTTAGTCCATAGTCTGATCAAGTTTAGCTTCAATGTGCAGCCTTATTTAAATGTCAAAGTCATTGTTACCTTCAATATATGTTTTTGGCAAAAGCCCAAGAATCAATACACTTACGGTACGTCCACACGGCAGCGTCACGTTGAAGCTTGCCGGTGGGCGTGTATGGCGTGCGACCAACAACCGATCACATTAATCTCCCGCCCCGGATGCACAAGCACGCGGTTTGATTGGCTAGAGCTTGTACTGGCATATGATTTGATTGGCTGGCGCTTCTGTCGACGCTTGAAAAGTTGAACTTTTCTCAACTTTCGAAGCGAGCACTGGAGGCAAAGCGACGGAACCACAATGCAGTTCGGCAAAGCCTGACGTCACCCCATTCAAAGTGAATGGGAAGCGTCTCCGTTGAAGCACGCGACGCTGCCGTGTGGACGTACCGTTATTATGAACATTTCACACAGATGTCTAATGAGGACATTTTTGTAAACTGCAACGTGAATGGTTGGTGGAGGCAACCACAAGGCGTCGCGTCCAATTCAAGGCTTCTGAATAATATTGAGGGTGGTGAGGGTGGTTGGTTCAAGGATTAAAAAGTCAACGCAGTGGATTTAAAGATGAGCACATGGAGGCAGGAGTTCCAGATAATTGTGTTTATTGTAATTTGTTGATTCTTGTTTGTCTTAATTGTTTCCTCGTTGATCTGGTAGAAAAAACACATTTTAGTTCAAACATAATATTCATGCTTCAAATGATAATCCAGCAAAGCAGTTATCTTTTTACATAATTATATGTAATGTAGAAATAAAGTAACCAAATGCAATCTAAACGGTACAGAAAATAGGGAGGTAAACTACTCGAGCTGCTATGAACATACAATACAAAGGAAAGGAAAACGTACTGATTATTTACTCAGACAAACAATTGGTTCTCAGGAGTTGCATGAGGCCTTTATAGCTAGCTCCGCCCCTCCAGGGTGGCAGGAGGAGGGAGCAGGTAGAGGGAGGTTGGAGTGGGAGATGGATTTTCCACAGCTTCAGTTTTTTCTTTTTTTTGGCTCTGTTGTGATGAATTTGTGTTTTTGTTTCACTGTTGGCTCCGGACAGCTTTGAGGAGTCTCTAGAGGAACCGTTCTCCTTGCCCTCGGCTCCGTTCAGCAGCTATAAGTGAGTGAGGCCTTCAGGGACCGCAGGGACTGATTCCCTCAGTAGTTCTCAACCCTTTGGCTTGTGACCCCTGAAGACAAAAACAAATGGATGCACGCTCTAAAGCCACTTTGTGATTGTCATCTTTGGAGTTTCCACCATTGTTTCAAAGTGCAGATTAGTCGCCAGCAATCAGTAAGATTCAAGCAGTTTGAAATTAATGATCGATGAGAGTTGATGCTAAAATGACTAATTCATTTAATATTAAAAGTGGCAATAGACACGTTTTTCGCTTGAACTTGATTGTTCAATGTTATGGTTAGATCAGGATTTAGATTGGTTAGCTATAAGTAATAATATGACTAAATACATCTAATTGTTATCAGATTACCAAGGGGAAATAGGTAATTAAATGTTACTAAATATAATGTTTTTCATATACAAATGGGTTAACCCTAACCCTAACCTCAATAAAGTGTATTTATAATACAAAAATATACCCACTTGTTCATAGCTCATATCTAAACTTAAAAAAAATGTAATATAATGATAATTCAAGCAAAGGGTGTGGGTTTTGTCAAATGGCGTTCGATTCCATAGATTAACAACCAAATATTTTCCTTTGATGTCCCAAAATTGTTCGTAGTTTTCAGTAGTTATTTGACTACTTGAGTAACAAATATAAATGTAGTTAAATGAGCAACAAGCTACTGCAAAATGTAGGTAAACTACCGGATGATACGTGCAGTTTACCAAACACTTTTTAATATGTTTTTCTTGCATATTCTGTGTGTCTGAATAAATCCCAAAATGTGTCACTAGTAGTAGACTCTGAGGAAAACATAAATGAATCCATTTTCTTAGGTACGTCAATAATGTCCCTTGAAGACGCCAGGGGTAAAGTTTTGTCTATTGCCACTTTTAAAAAGAGAGCATATGATGAATAACAGAAAACAAATCGTCCTCTGAGTCCCACATCTGAGAACTATCGCCTCTCCGGAGAGCCTTGCTGTCCGAACACTAACCTGAGCAGTTCTGAAACAGCTGATCTCCAGAGAAACCCTTTGCCCTCTGTTAGTGGACTGACATGCTCCCTATTAACCCTGATGGGCTGCTGTGGGTCTGTGCGTCTGTGTGAGTGTTTCCTTCCTGATGGAGGGGGTTTCTGAGCAGACACACACTCCGGCTGAATCCCTCAGAGATCATCTAACACACAGCCCTCTGCATCCTGCACACGCCCTCCATTTAACCCCATCTTTTTTCACTAATGCCTTTCAAGCAACAGCTAAACCTGGACCTGAGTAACCTGCATGGCCTGATCTGGTGTCTCTCCGTCCGCCTGGTGCTTCACTTTCTTTCTTTAACCGTCTCTGTGCTCTTCGCTGCAGGAACAAATCCCAGAAGAGCAAGTTTGACGAGGAGCTGCACAACGAGATGACCACCACCATCGATGAGCTCAGCAGCAAGTAGGTCCACCTTTACAGCCACTAAAATCACATTTCAGGCTTGTGTGTTGTACTTTTGTAGTTATTTATTCATTGGGTATTTTGCAGAGATAGTGCACATTAGGCATTTACAAAAAAGTGTATCAGAGGCGGTTTTTATCTGTATTCCCTGGACAAATGATGTGAAGTCACCCTTAAAACAAATCATATTGAACTTAAAAGTTAATTAAATCATTCAACATGCAACAAAGGGGGTCACAATACTGGAAATGCTAATAAAATAAAACATACATATTACATAAAACATGAAGATAGCCGCAGGTTAAACCGACTGAAGACAGAGGACTGTACAGTGCAGTAAAAATGAGTTTTAAATAAACTGAACGTGACTTGTTCTCTAAGTGTTGTTAGGATGGAGTTCAATTGTAGTGCAGCTTAAACAGAAAATACAACTTATTTTATCAAATTTAAGTATTAACCCAAACTGCCTCAACAATATAATTAAGTTTCACTTTGAAGGGCAACAAAAACTATAACCCTGTCTTTATATGGGTTTATGTATTCAAGAAACTCTATTGATAAACCAGGTAATTGATCGATGATGATAATTAAGAAACAACTGTTGAGGTATTACTGATGGTTTTCCTAAACTTCATAACTTAAGCATGACACCACCAGTGTGTTTTTATCGGAAACATTTGTCTCAAAGCTCTAAACTTTAAGTAAATACAATTTAAGTATTGACAAAAAATATTACTTTTCAGCCATGCTAGTGGTGTGACTTAGTCTTGGTAGCATATCTATGCAAACACTGTCTTGTAACACATATTAATATCAAGATAATGCTGCAACACTTGCTGTATTTATTCAATTATGCCTCCTAAAGTTGTCTCTTCCTTCCTTCCTTCCTTCCTTCCTTCCTTCCTTCCTTCCTTCCTTCCTTCCTTCCTCTCTCAGGCAGTGGTCTAAGACTGAAGAAAGTGGCAGTTTAGCTCTGTGGTTTCCAAAGAAAGATCTGGAGAAACAGGTTGGTTTAAAAGCATGATTTCATATTGAGATGTATCTATATCAGTATCTCCATTGAGGCATCCTGGTGTTGAACTAGAAGTTCTGCGTCTGTGTTTCCTCTTCAAAGTACCGAGCCCTGGACCTGCCGATGTTCAAACATTACGTCGGCTGTGCCACCGTCATCTTCCTCTGCATCTTCTTGGTTCAGTTGTTTGTCACAGAGGAGTGAGTATGACTACATTTCCCTATTTTTTTAATCTCATAAATATCCAAGTTGTCAGCAGTTTAAAGGTCACCTATTATGCAAAATCCACTTCTTCCTGTCTTTTCTACATAACCATGTGTCCCATAAAAACCTGTCTGAAAATGAGCTGATCAGCTTTTGGACACTTTATGATGTCATAACGATTTTTTTGGCTTGTGTAACCATTAGCCAATCACCAACCAAGGTAACCCCCCCCCCCACCTTTTCACCTGAATCTCCTCCTAGAGCACCATTGTGTTCTTTTTAACCAAATCTCTCTCAGAGGGGCGTGGGGAGGGGCTCCTTATTTTCATCTAAAGTAACAGACAGAGAATCAGCACTTTGGAAACAGGGCTGAAACAGAGGGGATTATGGGTAATGCTGCAATGATCTGTTTGGTGTTTGGAGCCAAACACTTCAGAGACATGTTCTGTATATATCTGAGACCTATAATATATTGATTAAAAACCGTATAATAGGGGACCTTTAAAGACAAACGTTAAAATATCGCATGCTTGTGTTTACTGCTGAACTTATTACACACATCTAAACAAAAACCCATTGACTCTGAGGCAAAGAAAGCAAAAAGGCTTAAATGCTAACCCATTTGCGGGTTTTAGGACTCATTCCTGCACCACTCATTCCACTAAAATCAAAAGGAGATATTTATTTTTACACACTGGTTTTCCTCTCCCCAGTCGACAGATGTTGGGCACGTCGTTCGGGGTCCTGGTGTGTGTGCTGCTGCTGACCCTGGCCATCTGTTTCGCAGGTCACTTCCAGGTCAGTGCGTTATTAAGACTTACGTTCACATTTACATGATTTCAGGGGAGTTTAGGGTTATTTTTAGGCACTTATTCCCAGGCAGGTAGCATGGAGGTCTGTAGAAAGTAGAAACATCCTGTCATCCAGCAACCTCTGGATGCAGGTCGAGTAAAGGAGTTTTTTTGTGTCCAGAAAAAATCCCACTCTGTAATGCTGGCCCTGAACTGCAGCATTACTGGTAAGTGGTTATCCCTAAAGTGGTATTAAGGAATTCCATTTCCTCGTGTTTGAGAACATTCAATGTGAAATTCGTTCTGTATTTCTGTTTTGCTGTTTTGTGAAGGCCACTCACGATGAATACGGACAAGCTTTCAGGAAGGATGTCATTTAATTCACCGTCTGTCCATAGCCTCTCTCCAGCTTCCTCTCTTCTATTTGTGCTTATCAAACACGCAATGTACAGATGAGGTTTTTAGAGGGAAGATGGTGTTTCACGAGAGCAAACTCCAGAGCAGACCTTGTCACATTGTTACGGGATCGGATGTTTCCGAGGTCGAGCTGTGAACATTAAAACTCAGAATAAATGCTGCAGTTTGAGTCAGGCGGTGTTTGCACAACATCTTCTATCCCTCTTTTTCATTTAAAGGACATTGAAAGAGAAAAACTTACATATTCTTCTGAAAAAATTATTTGAAATGCCATGCTCTTAATTCTTTATTTTATTAATATTTGTTACTTTTTGCTTTTGTTTATATATGTATTCTACTTCCTCATACTACAGTATGTAGCTTTTTAAAGCTCAATTTGATATGGCTTTCAGCAGAGGTGTAAAGTAACTAATTACATTTACTCAAGTACTCTACTTAAGTACAAGTTTGATACTTGAGTAAAAGTTGAAGTACCAGAGTGTAGGAATACTCTGTTACAGTAAAAGTCCTGCATTCAAAAGGTTACTCTAGTAAAAGTAGAAAAGTATTATCATCAAAATATACTTAAAGTAGCGACAGTAAAAGTAGTCATTGTGCAGATTGGTCCATTTCAGAATAATATATATGATATGTTTTATAATGATTGATCATGAAAGTGTTCTCAAAGCTGGTAAAGGTGCAGCTAGTTTGAATGACTTTGTATACTGCAGGGTAGCTTGTGAATTTACTCCAGGTGGAACTACAGTCTGATTTAACACTTGATTATATTTCACATCATTCATCCACATCTGTAAAGTAACTAAAGGTATTAAATACATGTAGTGGAGTAAAAGTACACCATTTACCTCTGAACTGTAATGGAGTAGAAGTACGAAGTAACATAAGTACCTCAAAATTGTACTTATGTTACTTGAGTAAATGTTACTTTACACCTCTGCGTTGTATCCTATCCTTAGCATTTACATTGCCTTAGCCTCATAGGTCAATAACACTACTACAAAAGGCCAGTCCCAGTTAAATAAAGACGGGGTGAAAAGGTCATGTTTGATGTGTACACACTGCAGAGCCAGATTTAGCCGGTGTGAGAATGTAAAAGACGTAATTGAAGCGACTCGACTCTCTATATCCGACCTCCCGACACCTGACCCTTTGTTTCCTTGCAGACAGATTCTCTCTCTGGAAATAACCGCCCATTACTCACTCACACATGTTGTCTGGAGATGGATGACTGTGTGAAAGCCACGTGCGCCTCAAACATGTTTCACTCTTTCTCTCGTCTCTTGCAGCGCCTGTTTCCAGAGAAGCTGTCTCAGTGCCAGTGGCTGCCCGCCGTGTCCGAGGCGGTGGTGAAGCGGCCGTGTGTGCGCCTCCCTCTGGCCACCATCACCACTGCGGTCATTGTCATCCTGGCAGTATTCAACCTGGTAAGACTAGAACATCTCAAAGTAAATCAGGGGTGTCCAAACTTTTTTCTCCAAGGGCTACAGAAAAACATACCAAGGGCTGGGCCACTCATTAGAGGTATATTGCCTCATATGTTAAGTTCTAAGTTAACAAAATCAATCAAATGTAGGTAAATTACAGTATGCATTATACTTGAATATGCTTTAAGAAAAAAACAGCCTACATCACAGCTCTCCATAGGGTTTCATTTATTTAGTTGGAAGCTCATCCATTAAAACAGAAGCATCAGATTGATCATAATAAGGAGAAATATGAAGCGTATATTATATATATATAATATACATATATTATGTATAAAACAATAACAACCAACAACGACAAAAACAGACAGACAGCAACAGTAGCAACCTAGTACTCATGTGTGAGTACTTATCATGTTATATTTACGCCCACAGTTATAACACTTGACCATTCTCCCTTCATGTACGGTGTAAAATTGCATTTAAAGTATATCATTAAAAGTACTCGTTTGATACTGTCCGCTATATTATAATATACAACACATTTTAATTAATAGTTCTAAAGCATCAATGTGTAGGTAGCATTTTACTGTAGCTGGAGGTAAGGTGAGTTTGAACTACTTCACTTTTTTCTTTTAAATGTTTCTCTAATATTTAATCAAAGAAAATCACTTTTTGGTGAAGCAACTCTGAAAAGTGACCCCAATTACTCACTGTTTTCTTGCAGGGCATCAAAGGCCAAAAAGGTTTAAAACCTGTAACAATTGGATTTATTTTAAAGTGGACCTATCATGCTATATTTGAATAATATAGTGTAGGACCATACCTATATAAGGCATATTTATACTTTTTTTTTTTCAAAATACCAAACATCATGCATTTTAGCCATGCCTCATTTCGCTCAATTTGACATTTTTTAGATCTATTTTAGCAAGGGCTGATTCAGTGAGAACAGCACCATCTACAGGCCTGGCATATGTACTACAACGTCTCCAGCGCTTTCGAACGGCAATGGCCGTGGCTGTCTCCTCCTGATTGGTGGAGTTGGCCCAATAGCCGTAGCGCCACCGTCCTGACGTCAGGACAGTGTTCACATCTGGATCAGTTTTTATCAGATCCGTTGCAGCCCCTTTTTTAGAGATTTGGGTATGGAGGAAAATAGAGAGGGTTGTGTTTTCTGACACTTGGTGAGTTCCCTGGAACACCGGGGACACATATTCATGTATAAAAGACGTACAAAAGTGCATTTTGCATGATAGGTCCCCTTTAAAGTATGTTGTTCATACATTTCAAGACACCACAAATGTACATACTTGTGGTGTGGTTAGCATGTGGAAAAGACAGAAAGAAAAAAAGATAAAATAAATAATAACGAACCATAAAAAGATCTCCAGGTTTTCCAGAGAAAACTGACTCATTTATGTTTCACATTTCAGCAGTCATCTTTATGCATCACCAAAATGTACAATACCGATCATCAATCGCTCCTTTTATTATCCAGTGTGTGAAATCGTCTTCTGATAAGTATCTAAAACTCTCAAATAACAGAAATGTAGTGGAACGGAAGAAGAAAGTAGAATAAAATCAAAACATTAAAACTAAATACCTCAACATTTGTGCAATTCTTGAGTAAATCTCTTTAAAGGTCCCCTATCATACTATTTTTCATCAATATATTATAGGTCTCAGATATATACAGAACATGTCTCTGAAGTGATTGGCTCCAAACACCAAACAGATCTTTGCAGCATCCCATAATCCCCTCTGTTTCAGCCCTGTTTCAAAAGTGCTGATTCTCTGTCTGTTACTTTAGATGAAAATAAGGAGCCCCTCCCCACGCCCCTCTGAGAGAGATTTGGTTAAAAAGAACACAATGGTGCTCTAGGAGGAGATTCAGGTGATAAGGTGGGGGGGGGGGGGGGGGGGTGTTACCTTGGTTGGTGATTGGCTAATGGTTACACAAGACAACAAATCGTTATGACATCATAAAGTGGCCAAAATCTGATCAGCTCATTTTCAGACAGGTTTTTATATAAATGGATCAGGACAAAAAGAGAGAGAATCTTTTTTCCTGAAACTTTCAGAGTCTCTTTACACAGAGGGGACACATGTTGATGTAGAAGAGACATGAAAAAGTGGATTTTGCATAATAGGTGACCTTTAATAACCTTCCACCTGCTCACATGTTGAGTCTTAAAGAGGTCCTTATAGCTATTTCTGTCTGCCAAACTCTTCAAAGCCTTCTGTCCGGAGCTTTCTGTCTCTCACGTCTCTTTCCTTCCTCGCAGTGCTTCGTCCAAACACCGGTGCCAACGTGCGTCTCTGAAATGGACGAGCTGCGTCCCACCAACGACTCCCAGGAGCAGGGATCAGAGGAGGAGCTCTTCTACCTGCCTGTGAGTGATGGCTCTGTTAACCGTGGGCAATAATGACATAGTTTCATGTCAGGCTGGATTAGATGTTTTTAATTTAAGAACAGAGAAGACGTGATTTATCTCCGCTTACAGTTACAAAACAGTGTTTTATCAAACATGTATTGTTGGTATCTAACTCGCTTATTCCTTAGTAAGAAGGGGTTGTATATTTTATTACTTCTTTACAAACATCCTCGGGTCTTGCATATTTAAAGCAACGGTTAAACAGTGATGAGAAAATGAACAACAAATATATACTTTATATAAATAAATCTGTATACCCAAAGAAAATGAATAACTATTTGCAAATCATTTTGTTATATTTTTTATTTAAAACCCCGGAAGACTTTACTTACCCCTGCTTGTTACATACAATTGTGTTATTAATATGTATATTTCTTTTTATTGATATTTGTATCCTGCTTTTTCTTTAGAATTAATAGATTGAATAACAGAGATTTTTATCTATTTTTGTATTTATTACAATTGTTCCTGTTGTTCTCCTGCTTATTCGTTAGTGTTTTTTTAAAGACCTTTACAGATCTGTTGCTCCCGTATTCTGACTCTCTCCCCCTCTCTCTCTCCTCAGTACTCGGTGTACTGCTGCATCCTCTCGCTCATCGCCTGTGGAGTCTTCCTCCGCGTGAGCTTCGAGCTCAAAGTGCTCTTCCTCACCCTGGCCTCCACAGCGTACTACATCATCATCCTCAGCACCAACAGGGAGCTCTTTGTGGTCTACGGGCACTTCCTGAATGGCAGCGGGAACTGCAGCAGGTGGGATTACAGGGAGCGGAGAAAAGAGAGAGCAGCTCAGAAAGGACAACGTTCAAAGTCCTGAAGATGCCGCATTTAAAACGTGGAAAAGGCTTGAATTTGAGATGAAATCCTTAAGAAATGCCTGATTTGAAGCACAATCTGGCATTTTATCTACACAATCACTCATATTTTAATAATTGGAACTAACTTATAGTCATTTTTGTTTGTTGGAGACGTGGAGCAGACCCTAAAGGAGAAATAAAATATATAATATTAGACAATTTTGAGTTTTTTTGGTTATGTAAATATGTCCATATATTATATTTTTTCCATTTGCATTAAAAGTTATAATTTAAATGTGTTTATACAATATAATATTTAAAAATGTAAGAATAACAAAGTGCTTTTACATAAAAACAGAACCTTTAATACACATTTTTTTTTAAACACAACAACAACTAAACACATTAAACTCAGAGAGGACAACAAGAAAGAAACACCTCAAATAAATCACAAAAGAAAACTATAAAAGTGGGTTTTGAAAGTCTTTTAAAAGACCTGACAGATTTTGCAGCACAATCCCAGAATAAACATGAATACAAAGTGTGAATAAAGTCATGAATGTTGTGTTTTCCAGCAGAGACGATCACAGCGTCCTGAGATGGCTGGGTCTGGTGAAACACCCTCAGGTGATGAGCTGCATCTACATCACTCTGTTCCTGGTCACCATGCTCATCATCTCCCAGCAGGTAACAGCTTTCACCTGTCCTTAAAGGTCACCTATTATGCAACATCCACTTCTTCATGTCTCTTCTACATCAACATGTGTCCCCTCTTCTTCATGTCTCTTCTACATCAACATGTGTCCCCTCTTCTTCATGTCTTTTCTACATCACCATGTGTCCCCTCTTCTTCATGTCTCTTCTACATCACCATGTGTCCCCTCTTCTTCATGTCTCTTCTACATCAACATGTGTCCCCTCTTCTCCATGTCTCTTCTACATCAACATGTGTCCCCTCTGTGTAAAGAGATTCTGAAAGTGTCAGGAAAAAAGATTCTCTCTCTTTTTGTCCTGATCCATTTATATAAAAACCTGTCTGAAAATGAGCTGATCAGATTTTGGTCACTTTCTGATGTCATAACGATTTGTTGGCTTGTGTAACCATTAGCCAATCACCAACCAAGGTAACCCCCCCCCCCCCCCCCAATCAGCAATTTGGAAACAGGGCTGAAACAGAGGGGATTATGGGATGCTGCAATGATCTGTTTGGTGTTTGGAGCCAAACACTTCAGAGACATGTTCTGTATATATCTGAGACCTATAATATATTGATGAAAAACAGTATTATAATAATTTTACTCATCACTGTGCCGGATGTATTTTCTTTTTACTTCAAAGCTTCTTTTGAGGCTTTTAAATGAAGCTTTGAATATTTTTTTGTCATATTTGACAAGGTCATCCCCCTAAAAAAGTGGAAATCCTCCGAACGAAACCTTCAATTTGAATAAAGTGATTTTTTTATTTGTATTAAATGAACTTTCTTTATTGAATATAACTCGTCATTGTGCGTCTCTCTTTGTGTGCCACAAGCGGGGAAGAAAGCACTTTTTCATCTCATAGAAAATGTTTATTTAGGCAATGAATAGACATGCAAAATAATACATTCAAAAGGTTTCACAGCCTTCAAAGGCGAATGTAGAATTTGACGTTATGAATGAAGTGTATTATTCGACACAGCCCAATTGTATCCCCCACATCCCAAACATTTGAATGTGTAATTGATCTCCTAATAAGATATTTCAAGGCCTGTTACAAATGTATTTATATTGCTTATGTTCACCTTCACATGCGTATTATGTGTACTTGCGGTTCAGGCTTAATTGCGACTGCTTTGCATAACATCGCCAGCTTTATCAACCTTTACTTGCCAAATAAACAGTTTTTACGCTTTTAAATGAATTGTTATTAAGTTATAATACTTTATCAGGTGATAAACTAACTCATTCAGATGACCACTACATGATTACTTTATCAAAAAACTGTATATTTAAGATTTTACAGCGGTGTTTGGAGTTGTGAGGAGCGTGGCAACAATGCATGCATGAGCGTTTAAACCTTAGGTGGGAAAAGGGGCGGGGCTTCATGAGGTGAAGAGTGTTTGCACACTGATAACCTTCTGGAAATATACGAATCAACGCAAGAAACCAGGAAAATCTGAACTAAAACAGTTTTGAGCTTCCTTCATTGTTCTCTCGCTGTGTTTCGTCTGCTAGAACGAGTCGTGCTTCCGGCAGGACTTCCTGCTGAAGTACAAGAACCGCACGGAGCAGGACGAGATCGAGACCCGGGAGAACCTGAACCGCCTGCTGCTGGAGAACGTGCTGCCGGCACACGTCGCTGCGCTGTTCGTCGGCGAGAACAAGAAGAACGAGGTGAGGGGGAGGATGTTGTTATGGGGAATATGTGATAAGCAATGAATGAGTAACCAGTCAATTACAATTCATGTTATATTATGATTAGTTGCCCACTGAATAACCATGATGTATCAGAATCAATTTACCTCGGTGGGCTGATATTTCTCACTTCTTCTTTAGGCAATAAATGATTAATGTATAGTTCAGTATACATTTTATGTTTTTACAAGAGGCAGATATTTTCTTAATTGATTCACCAAAGAGAAATTCATTCTGTGTTCTGCCTAGGTGTCTTGAAATGTTGTGTAACTTCTAAAATAAGGCAAAAGCTTCACTTCTGTTCAGTGTTAACTGTTAGCTTTGATATAAATGCAAGTAACTATAATGTCAGTCGTCTTTACTCACAGGTTCACTTGCCCCTTACACAACACTGTGCACATTAGGAAAGCAACATCTTATACAACCATACAATTATCACTGTGTGTGTGAGGTTCGTTTAGATTCCTTAATTCAAATTATGAACTCATTTGTTTGGGATGAATTCAAAGTATTATTATCTTAGCCTAAAATTGTAAGTTGTCAGTACTTCTAGAATAAATTAAGGGAGGTTTGTATAAAAAAAACTTTAATTGAAGACATTCCCAGCCTCCCCCTGGGGAATACAAATAAAAACACATTTTTGTAAGCATAATATACTTTACATCAATATAACTTGGAGGAGAGGCATATATCAACTGTAAATAGTCCTTATATTATCACATTTATCAGCAGTTAAGAGAGGCCTGTCTTAAAACTTACATCTAAGCCTCACATTCTCAATCGTGGATAAAGAAAATAGTGCATACATTAAAAAAATGACATAAAACTTGAAGGAAATTCTTAAAACAATAAGCCTGTTGTTTACTTAGATGTATGTTCTTGCCACGAGTTCTTTATTGTTAATAACAATATTCTTGTGATAGTACAATTATGAACTGTGCTTTTTGTATGTTTTCCCCGACAGGACCTCTACTATAAGTCCTATGACTGCGTGTGTGTGATGTTCGCCTCGGTGCCGGATTTCAAAGAGTTTTACACCGAGTGCGACATCAACAAAGAAGGCCTGGAGTGCCTGAGGCTGCTCAACGAGATCATCGCTGACTTCGATGAGGTCAGGAGCCACAAACACATCCATCTTCCTTTACAGGACGTGGACAGTCCCCATTGATCAACTGTCACAAACAACAGTAAATGGGGAAGCTTTAGCCAACATGGCTAATTTCCAGCTGTTGTCCCCGGCCAGATGATAATAGACACCTTTTTAAAATCACAATACATCTACAGCATTGGTTATAAAGAAAGGATGAAAGACAAGTAGATACAGGCGAAAGGATAGACTACAGACTTCACGTGATGTGATGTGTTTGAATGCAGCGGTGCTTTCAATGAGCATAGCATTAAAAGCTAATTGTAAACATTTGCATTGTTTAAACTGTGAGAGGCTGGTCTGAGCCCCGGCTTAATTTAACCCCTTACCCACCACTAAAGTTGATGGTTTCTAATGGCGCTTTTCCACTGCAGGGCCTCGCTCGGCTTAGTACGGTATGGCTAGGCCTCGTTAGGCCAGGCTCACTTTATGCTGCGTTTCCATTACAGTTTAGGAACTGGGGTAGTAACTATAGTAACGCAGTGTAGGTGGAGCCGTGACGTCATCTTCAATGCGAAACAAAACCAACATCAGCCGTTAGCTGTTAGCCCTCAGAGCTCACAGCTCCTCATATATGTTCAGAAACTAGACAAAAGTTAAACAAGTACAAACCACAGACTGCCTGTGTCATGGTGAATACAGTCGCTGGTTTATTTATGTCTGTAGGCCATTGTTGTGAGTGTGGACGGTCGGAGCATATACTGCGTTAGCTTAGCCAATCTCCATTCAGAAAACACGCATTTTAAAAGGTTTTTCGCCTGCCGTCTGTCTGCAGACTTGTCAAAGCATTAATTCATGGTTTTTACTAACCGGTATCAGTATGTTGTTACTTCGGCATCATTTTGAAACGTGTATTACAATTAAATCACGGTCAAATATGTTCATTTTGTTGTAGTTGCCAGCGATTCTCTCACTAGTTTAGCATACTCAGCCCAGTTGTTGGCCCGGAAAGAACCTCGATTTTGGAGAGCCAGAAAAACTGAGAAAAAGTACCTGTTAGCCGGAACTACGCCTAGTGGAAACGCAACCAAAAACGGGCCGGGCACGGCACGCTTAAACCGCGCTCCGCGCTGTAGTGGAAATGCGCCGTTAGTGATCCAGATCGTTTGATTTTGAGTTTTTGATGAGTATTAACTAGGGCTGCTCGATTATGGCAAAAATCATAATCTCGATTATTTGGGTCAATAATTGATATCACGATTATTAAAAACGATTATCCATTTACTTTGAAAACATCCATTTATTGAAAAAAAAAAGTAAACAGTATGTTTTGAACAGTTGATTACCCTGAACTATAAGTATAATTCAACTGAAAAACCAAAACAAAATTAAATAAAAAATAAAAAAATAAATAAAATCGTTTTATTTCGATTATGTTGTTTTTATAATCGTTGCAAGCCAAAATCGTAATTGCGATTAAAATACGATGAATTGAGCAGCCCTAGTATTAACTAACCAAAGTCACACAGCAGCCCAAACACACTCACATCCCTCTTCATGCTTTCCTCCACCAGCTGCTGTCCAAGCCCAAGTTCAGCAGTTCCATCCATCTTCCTTTACACTCTGTGATACAGGGATGGTTTCAATGCCCTAATCTGATATCGTAACTCTGCCTATGCACGTACAGTGTTAAAAGGGGGGTTTCAAGTGTAGTTGTATGATGTACTTATCCGTAGTCAGTGTCTTACCTACAGTAGATGTAAATGCAAGCTAACAATGTGATGCTGTGAACTGGGCAGCAGCAAAATGTATTATAGCCACGTTAAAAAGTCATTATCCGTTTGCTTTTCTTTTGTTGGTTAGTTTAGTATTTGATGAGTATTAACTAACCAGAGTCACTACTATATTATATTTTATTTGTATTTACTTGCACTATTTTATCTGTTTTATTGTGTTGCACTGTTGGAGGAGCCTGTGACCTAAGGTTTTCATTGACATAACTACACTGTAGCTACGTATGACTAATAAAAGCCTTGAATCCTTGACTGCAGCAGAAACAAACTCACATCCCTCTTTATGCTTTCCTCCACCAGCTGCTGTCCAAGCCCAAGTTCAGCGGGGTGGAGAAGATCAAGACGATCGGCAGCACGTACATGGCCGCCGCGGGGCTCAGCGGGACGCCCGGGCACGAGAACAATCAGGTAAATAAAAACCAATCAAGAACATAAAAAACGATACATCTTGAAGCGGTTATATTGAAGATGTTGAATAGGTTTCACCCTTTGTTTCCCTGCTGCTAGCAAACAAATCAAAGCTAACTTAAATTAACATTAGTGAGTTTGCAGGTATGTGTGTCAGCGTGGAGGACAGGCGTGGGCAAGTCTCCTAAAGAAAAAAGAGGAGATTATTGGCTTCATCAATCATTTCCCCCCCGCCACATGTAATGGCTCCTACCAATAGTCTGTAGCCTGGCTCTGTACACCCTGCTGCTAACAAATAGGGAAACCCACTACTTAGCAAAACAAAGTGACGCCCAATGCAAAGAAGTAATAAGTACAAATAATTGTCTTATATGTAGCCTATTGAATGCACAATATTCATTATTTAAAGGAAAACTGCAGTATATTCTTCAGAAAGATGAGCAAGTAGCCCACCATGGATCATTATCCTTCATTATAAATGAAAACTTGGAGGAGATGCTTAAGCAATTACACTTTTTAAAGTGGACCTATCATGGTATATTTAAATTATATATTGTAGGGCCATACCTATATAAGGTATATTTATACGTTTCTGTTTTCAAAATACCAAACAGATCATGCATTTTAGCCATGCCTCATTTAGCTCAATTTGCACTTTTTTTAGCTCTGCTCTGCAAGGGCAGATTCAGTGAGAACAGCACCATCTACTGGCCTGGCATATGTACTACAGCGTCTCCAGCGCTTTCGAACGGCAATGGTCGTAGCTGTCTCCTCCTGATTGGTGGAGTTGGCCCAATAGCCGTAGCGCCACCGTCCTGACGTCAGGACAGTGTTCAAATCTGGATCAGTTTTTATCAGATCCGTTGCAGCCCCTTTTTTAGAGATTTGGGTATGGAGGAAAATAGAGAGGGTTGTGTTTTCTGACACTTGGTGAGTTCCCTGGAACACCGGGGACACATATTCATGTATAAAAGACGTACAAAAGTGCATTTTGCATGATAGGTCCCCTTTAAGTTAAATTGAAGTCATTTCATGTCTGTTCTGGACACTATCGAGAAAGACTCCTTCATTGAACTTAAACCCCTCACATCTGGGATCGGTCTTATTGAGGTTTTTGATGTATTCCTCCAGGACAAAGAGCGGCAGCAGGCTCAGATCGGGAACATGGTGGAGTTCGCCATCGCTCTGATCGGGAAGCTGGACGGCATCAACAGACACTCCTTCAACAGCTTCCGGCTGCGCGTGGGTGAGTGGAAGAAAAACAACCTTCTTCATTCACTGAACTCTGCACGCTGGGTCTGTACAATAACACAACAGGTTTCCATGGTTACACTGGACACGGAATGCATCAATGCAGCGTTGTTGCCATGACGTTGCATTCACTGACCATCGGGTATTTGTTACACTAGTGAAAACATCTTTATAAGGTCTGGTAGCGTCTGCTATGTAATGTTTAGGGTCTTATTTTGAAGTTATATTCATTATACTATCTGCTGTATTACTATTTATTGTCCCTTATGTATTTGTATTGTTAGTTTTCCATAAATCATTTGTTTTTTTACACCATAGACTTCATAACGCTTTCATATATTCATAAAAAAAATACCAAAATAAAACATACAAACAATTAAGTGGGTGACAAACAATCAAAAGATAAATAAATACATGTTTTGTTATTTAAATACTTTCTTCTACTTAATTTCTTTTACTAAAGTGATGTTTGCAGGAAGCAAGGATCCCACAAATCCTTAAACATAATTGTGTATTAAAAGTCCTAAATAAATCTGTCTAAAGTGCTATATAAAATCTTCATATCAGGTATGCTCGAGTGTTGTTACTCAGACGTCCTAATAAAAAGCATCTTTCATTCTTCCAGCAGAAGTTTCTCCATCTAATCATAAAGTGAACGTCATACTTAACCATGAGGAAGACTGAACCAGTGTAGGAGAGACTATAACGTCTGACAGCTGATTGTGAGCAGACAGTTTACAGATCAGGATAAAAGTTTTAGTTTCAACATTTACATTTTTTTTTAGATAAAACCAATCATAAGGCATAAACACTGAAATGTGTAGTGAGTTATCAAAAAGCAGTGTTTAGTGTTAAGCAAAGACTTGGTTTTGACCGGTGACATCATACTTTTGTTTTAATTTCAATAGGATTATAACTAAACTGACCAAATGTATGATAAATCTTTATTTTGCTTCAAATATCCAGGCAAAGATCTGAAGCAGGATGATCAAATGTTTTCCTCTTGAATCTCATTGTTATCTCTTACTTCTTGTGTCACATTAACATTATACGATGTACCGTAAGAGTAAATCATGGTGTTCCTCTCCAGGTATTAATCACGGCCCAGTGATAGCCGGAGTGATCGGGGCGAGGAAGCCTCAGTACGACATCTGGGGAAACACGGTGAACGTGGCGAGCCGCATGGAAAGCACCGGGGAGCTCGGGAAGATCCAGGTACGCTCAGACAAACAGCGATAATTAATGTGTTTAATCTGGTGTTCCTGAAGGCAACACGGCAATATATACTGTGTTTAATCTGGTGTTCCTGAAGGCAACACAGCAATATATACTGTTTAATATGGTGTTCCTGAAGGCAACACGGCCATATATACTGTGTTTAATCTGGTGTTCCTGAAGGCAACACAGCAATATAAACTGTGTTTGATCTGGGGTTCCTGAAGGCAACACAGCAATATATACTGTGTTTGATCTGGGGTTCCTGAAGGCAACACAGCAATATATACTGTGTTTGATCTGGGGTTCCTGAAGGCAACTGAGCAATGTATACTGTGTTTAATCTGGTGTTCCTGAAGGCAACACAGCAATATATACTGTGTTTAATCTGGTGTTCCTGAAGGCAACACGGCCATATATACTGTGTTTAATCTGGTGTTCCTGAAGGCAACACAGCAATATATACTGTGTTTGATCTGGGGTTCCTGAAGGCAACTGAGCAATATATACTGTGATTAATCTGGTGTTCCTGAACGCAACATGGCCTCACAGTTATTGCTCCTAAGGTTTATATAACAGCTCTAAATCAAAAATCATGGTTGCATTTATAAAGATTTAGACTCTGTTTCAGGTTTTCTATATCTGCTTTTAAAAAGGACAGAATATATAAATTCCCATCCTGTGCATTAGGGTTATTGTAGATTAAAGAAGTTATTACAGCCCGGGGGAAGGAGTGAATATTCAGATAAATACCGTGGATATTTCTCAGTTTAAAGCCATGAATTGAGGTGAAAAATATTTGTTTAAGGAACCACACTGCTTCACATAGCAAGGTCTGATACACATTAGTATGGGTCCCTTGACAGAACTTATTTTTTAAAGTCACTTCTTTCTCATATATTTGGGACTTTCTCAGACAACATCTCACACACACACATTTTCTAGTAAATTATGTATTTTGTTCTTGTACATTTAAGATGTTATTCTCTGGTAATATTACACCCCTCATCCAAGCTCAGTTGTGTTTGTATCCTACCATAGCCTATATACACAGTCTTTAATGAGACCCCTCATGAAATGAACATTTCATTTCAAGTCACTTGCTGTTTATTACTCTTATCTTATTATAGCATGCTTTAAAGGGGACCTATCATGCAAAATGCACTCTTTGATGTCTTTTCTACATCAAGATGTGTCCCCGGTGTGTCAGGGAACTCACGCAGCGTCAGAAAATAAAACCCTCTCTCTTTTCCTCCGTACCCAAATCTCTAAAAACGGGGCTACAACAGAGCTGATCCAGATTTGCGTCCGATATGTCGTCATATCGGAAATGTAGGCTGGCTTTACACCCACGGCCCTATCAGAAACACTGTTTTGGACGTAATATGGTCGGTGTTTACATTAGCATCGCTAACACTCAGAGCTAACCTGTACTGGAGAGCATGTGTGTGAAGAAGCAGGAAATAAAAAGGAACTCACCTTGTGGTATAACCGGCAAGAGAGAAAGCCTTTGAGCTCCATACTGTTTCAGAAATAATCCATGATATGGCGTTTCATCACGGCAGTATTTAGTTTAGACAGTAGCTGCCGGGTCCCGCATGAGCTCAGCCCCCTCCTTTTAATTTTTTTAAAGCTTTATACCCCAAATCAGCACTTTTGAAACAGGAAGTGAAATAGAGGGATATGAGGCATGGCTAGAATGGGTGATCTGTTTGGTATTTTTGAGCAAAACACTTTATAGACATGTTTTTTATATATTTGTATATATCTGAGACCTGTGCTATTGCCTAAAAATAGCAAGATAGGTGACCTTTAACTTTGGGAACTACTTAAATTACTTTCCCTCTTCTAACAGCACTGCTCCCAAAATGAATTCCTACTGTAACTAAACCGTAATGCTGCCAAATAAAAACACAATTCATAATTACTTTGTGTATTATTTAGTAAGAGAAGTCATGTTTTGTTCGTTGTTGAAAAGAGTTTGGTACTCCAGATGTAACATTTTAGCAACCCGACAAAATAAAACCTATAAACATGCCTTGTTTTGTATGTTTTCTAAGCTGCATCTTTGTGTTTATTCTTCCAGTTGACGGAGGAAACGTCCGAGGTGCTGCACAAGCTGGGCTACTCGTGTGAGTGTCGGGGATTCATCAACGTGAAGGGCAAAGGCGAGCTGAAAACCTTCTTCGTGTGCACCGACATGAGCAAGCAGCAGGGCATGGGTCTGAGCTGAGGACACACACCAGTTTACTGCTGCACGCCTCCACACACAGAAATATGAAAGACCCCGCAGTGTGGTGGATGCGAGAAAAACTGGAAAAACATTTTTGTACTCCGGAGCTGTTGAGCGGATCAGGATGTGTCTGTCATGGTGGAGCGAAAACGGACAATCGCCATCTTTTTTCTACGCACATTAACGTCCAGTGATCACTTTTGTACTTTTTCCTCTTGTCTTTAACGTAGATGTTGTCGTACTAATGCCAAATAATACAGGTAAAGGATGTACAGGCCTTTTAAAAAAGAAACAATGGATACTGTTTGGATCATAACTTCAATGGGTTTAAAGACGGGATGCTGTTACTGTGTAATGAGCGTAACATATGTAAGACAGCTGTTTCTAAAACAGAAACTGGCTGATTAAGATATTCAAATCAATTGTCTTGCTCATTTCTTTGGGTTATATTCACATCACGACGCTTGAAAAATATCCTGAAGTGACTGCATCAAGACTTTAGCTCTTTGTGTGACAGCTTTGAGATCTGCCAGAGAAACAAGATATTTGCTGCATTTCTAAGAGGAAATATGTGCCGTGTGTACATCGTCTGTTGAAGCGTTTGTTCTGCTGCACAGAGGTTACCTTACCCCCGCCTGCTGTGAATGTTTTTCTGCCTCCGGCTCAGACTATCACCTGAACTGATGTCACTTTGTCCTGTGGCCTTATCGTCTGTAATCGTGGTTACATAATAATAATAATAATAATGTATTGGCCTTCATGTGAACAAATGTGACATTGACTTTTGTACAGTGACAGAATGTAATAAATGTTTTCCTAAGTCTGCAGTTTGATGCACAAGAGCCGAGGTTTATTGAATGAAATGCATACAAATGTCACACAAAAAGCACCTTTCGTACAAAAACGTAATAACTGTAAAAGTTGAGAGGAATTTAATTAAACAGCGATGATTGGAACTGAATCCGTCTCCATTGGTTCAGCCGTCTCCTGCACTGAAAACATAAAAAGGTGATATATATATATATTAGACTCTTGATGAAACGTTATTTTAAATTTGAGAATTATTCAGAGTAGGACAGAGTAGGTGTAGAATTCAGATCCTTTATTTAAGGTCAAGTACTAATACCACACTATAAAACAATGATCTGTTACAAGTAAATGTCCTGCATTTAAATAAATAAAAGTGAGCCAGGATCATGTATTTAAAGTATATGTTGAACCATCACATTCATTTAAGTAGAGCTGCTTTTTAACTATTTTGTGAAAGGGATGAATATGTGTATTATGGATGAATCTGCTGATGAATGATCCAATTAGTGGATTGATTGTTTGGTTGTAAAACAGTCTAAAAAACTGTGGGAAATATCGTTACAAGTGACACCTTTTTTGTCCATTCAAAAGATCACAATTCAAAATGCTTACAAAGTAAATTGACTTGTTAACTGTGTGTAGTTTAATAAAATAAAAAAAATATTTTACAAGCTATTTCTATTTTTGTAAGCAATTAATGGTCATTTGTTTAAAACTAGTGACTAAATCTGCATGTCAAATGTATTTAACGCAGTAGAAATGACCATATCTCCATCTTCAAGTAGAAATGTTAAGTACATTTACCTCAACGAGTAAATGCACTTATTCCACCACAGACGACGAGCAATGTAGTTTATATTTTGATAAAACAAATATAATACAAGTGTCAAACAGCAGTGATTATGTCCAGAGAGGAGATGTACCTGTGGTGAGGTCGATGAAGGGCCCGGGGGGGTCCAGAGGGACGGAGATGCCCATGGCTCTCCGGATGGCGTACACACTGCTGACGTCACACGGAGCCACCTGACCCGTCAGCGCCGCCAGGTTCCCCGTCACCTTCTCCGCTGAGAGGAAAGAAAACATTATTTGTTTGGGGCAACAGGTAACAGGATAATAAGGAATGAATGCATCACACTACACTTGCTCACACAAAAACCCTTAGTGTACCTTTCCAGTGTAGTTCAGTGGGATCATAATTGGTGTTTAGGCCAAGTCACATTCATGTCATTAGATTTGATTAGATATTTACTTTATGATTTCAAATTGGGAAATTGTTGGTTGATGTGATTTAATGAACTCTTTTGTTTTTGTGCAGTATTACTTGGTATCAGATGGATACTTTTGGCTTCATATCTTCTCCATATTTGAAGTATACACTTTGATTGTATGGTCAGATCACACATTATAGTTAAACGGGAAGTTTCTTTATTCTACGTCAAATCCAAAATGTTTTCTCTAGGGAGTGCAAACATTCAACAGTGACAAACCCTTTCCCACAAACTAAATGAGGGAATCTTTAAAGAATACATCCCTAGGAATCAGGTCGATGTACTGATATGAATCCTACCTCCTTCTAACTGTGACCTCTTTAATAAAAAGGAACAACATCTGTGTATGGCGGCTGGTAGAGAGTTACATGTGGAGGAGGTCTACAGCAGGTGGAGACAGCCTGAGTGAGGGCACACAGGGGGGGTCAAACCATGTTCTGATCAGCGAATATGAACTGCTACCATCTAATGGGAGATCAATAAAGTCAGACTGAAGCATCCTTTGAAGCATCCTTTGAAGCATCCTTTGAAGCATCCTTTGTGCTCCAGTCAATCCTCACAGTAAACACAGAGCTGAATCCAGATCAAATGCACGCTAATGGCTCTTTGAGCATGTTTTCTCTCAGTGATCGTGCTGTTATGTTCAATGTTTGTTTGTCATGTATTGTGTCTTGATATGTGTCCATGTTGACGTTACACATGGAGCTGCTGTGATGCAAGTCACATGTCAGACTTGATCTGACCATTAAAGTGTTATCGTATGGTATTATCGTATGGTGTTATCGTATGGTGTTACCCAGCTCCAGCTCCTTGGTGGTGGGGGCCAGCAGGCAGATCATGTTGGGCGGCTGCTTGGCGCTCAGGCGCTCCCTCTGAGCTTCCTGTAGGTCACGCAGGAGCTTTGTAGTCTCGTCCAGTTTCTCCTGGAAGTGCCGGGCCTCTGAGGGAGAAAGGCGACACACAGTTAGTTCATACTTCCTCTGGGCTCCTCTGATTACCGTGTGGTGAATTCCCCCCTGTGCTACAAAACATCCATTATGTCCTAATCCTCAAATATCTCACGGATACATCAACATCTGAGAGTGCAGAGGGGGAGGATGGACTTTTGATGGGCTTTTAGGAAGATCTGAGAGGAGACATAATGGCTCAGATAACGGCTGCAGATGATTTTCAGTTTTGAACTACCTCAATGGAAACACCATTTACAGTGTAATTATGAATCTCTCTGCTCCTATTGAGACGCAGCCAGGGAATGGGCTGATAGATCGTGTGTGTGTGTGTGTGTGTGTGTGTGTGGTTATTAGTTCAGTTGTATAGGTTCTGAGTCTGAACTGGAAAAACGCTACGAGCAATTTGACGTGTGCATATTAATTTCACATCTGGTTCCCACATGTATCCCCATCAACGTGGCAGATTTAAACTCATATTCAAGCAAAAGATGATGAGAATATATGAATAGTTGAAGTCAAAGAACAAATGGGAAACATTCTCTGATACCTGCTTTTCAAATGTGTTGCTGAAGCGAAGTTTAAACAATAAAGCGTCACGTGTTAATGTATCATTGGTGCTCGAGTTGACTGCCTGAACTAGCTCGCAGGCTTCGCCCCATTTATCGGACTTTAAATAGATGTGTGTAGCCCAACTTTAAAACGCATGGATGGATGTTACAATGGACATTTACAAATGGAGAGGATAACATCATCTGTCAATCACAAACTGGAACTATTTGTGTCACGACGGAGAAAGTGGACTGATTTCGTAAAACCTCATAGGCCAGATTTTATTTTTACAAACATGAGTTTACTGTGAAGTCCTGATCAGTCCCTAATGTTCGTACTTTTTACAGACAAACTTAAGATGTACAATTACCATGTCTTGAAAAAACACTGTAATTGTGTGTTGCCAAATGTCAATAAAAAAAATATTAAAAAAATAGTGTAAGTGTTTTTACCCCCAGAGAGCCGCTCAGCTGTGGGGAGCAGGAAGTCCAGCCGGCTGCAGTCGGGGGTTACGGGATGAGCTTCCTACGAGACATGACGAGGGAGAGGAGAGACATCATGTTTAGTCAGGTTAGGAAAATGCATTCCTCACTAGACAGCTGACGCTTCAAGGGCAACATCCAGGCCTTTTGAAGCCCCTGTAGTCACGCTGCTTCCTCACCCCATAGAATGAAACCTAATGAAAAGCTGCAGCAGCAGGCAGGGGATGAGAGGGGGATGAGAGGGAGCTGGAGGGCGGCCAAGAGCAGCAAACAGCCGGACAGAGGGGTTTCTGTACGGCTGACGGAGGGGCTTGTGCTTAGGTTTCTTCAGCTGCTCTGAGGAGCGATTCAGCCGCGCAGCCCGCAGCGGGCAGAGAAAGAAAACACGGCCTCTCCAGATTCTCCTACAGCGAGCATCACGTTTCAAGGCTTTTATTGTCATGTGTGCATAGCTACAGTGTAGATACATCAATGACAATCTTAGGTCACAGGCTCCTCCTCCAACAGAGCAACACAATAAAACAGATAAAATAGTGCAAGTAAATACAATAGAATAGAATATAATAGAAGTTGTGCAGAATAGTATACAGTAATTGGAATATATAAGTTGCAAACAGATGTTATGGATGTTCTTTCAAAAGTCCAGGTGTTTATCATTCTTATGGCCTGTGGGATGCAACTGTCTCTGAGTCTGGTGGCTTTATGCTGCGGTAACGCCTGGGTTTCAGAGGGAAATGTTCTTTCCATGCATGCACAGATCGCCGCTAAAGGCCAGCCCCTGCTATGTTGACACAGCTGGTTGACGTAGCAACCGTCTGCAGAGGCCGTCTTTAATGACAAAAACGAAAGGAAGTTTCCACACGTGAGGCGAGAACACGCGCTGCAGGATCTGCTCTCGAACATCCCGTCCAGCAGGGAGGGTTTTACGTTACACACACACATATCTCTCATTGTGAACTGGATGTCTTTTTCCATGTGTGATGTGCAGTGGGACGCACAGTACAGGAGGTGATATCACTCAGGGAAGGTTTTAATATCTCACCTTCATGTCAACCGTGTTCTCTGGGGTCTTTGGTGTCTCCTCCACCTGCTGGACGGCCGGAAAACAAAACTTATTTAGTCATTCAATTGTCTTAGATTTCTGTCCTTTGCTTTACATTTGGATGAGAGCTGCAACAATTCTATGTATTTCAATAATGGACTATTCGTAACCCTTAGATGCATAAGTGGGTCTTTTTTGACCCGGTGAGGTGGTTTTCTTGAAGTATCTTTGTAATTACATTTTTTTATCATTTCATATTCCAGCTATTCCTCAAAAAACATGTTTTGGATATCATGCCATTCAAATTTTAAATTTACATTTTAAGAAATTGTAGTTTTTGTATTACTACCCCAAGCTTCCATAAGTGGGTCAAAAATGACCCGCATGCATTTTCTATGGGATCCTATGGGAACCTTTGATTCTTATCACCTGTGGCTGTCAGGAATACATTCACTGTAGGACACAGACTACATCACACGTGACACCTCTCAGGAAGATTATTTTACACAGCAAGATCTGATACCTGTCAGTATAATAATAATAATAATAATAATAATAATAATAATAATACATTATATTTGTATAGGGCTTTTCAAGGACTCAACATCGCTTTCCAATATAAGGGAAGGTTAGGGTGGGGGTATAGGACTATCAAACTTGATCAACCAGCATGGATTGATGGGGGGTGGGCTATGAGTAGACAAGAGGAGAAGAGATGAGTTTTGAAAAGGGACTGGAATACTGTGAGGGTCTCAGAATAGCGGCGATCTTTGCATCAATATGTTCAAAACGTTTTTTTTCAAAATGTAAAGAAAATGTCTAAAATTATAAATAGTGAAAAATTAAATATCAAATATTTCTAGTGTGAACCAAAATATAATACTAAATATTATACAAGTGATTTTTCTTAACCAAAATGACAAAAATGGCATAAAAACACATATTATTCATGCAATGGTGTCAGAAAATGCTGCTTTCAGGCCATCAATGATGAAGATATGCTGCTTTTCTGTTTTAAATCATATTAAATTAAATACCTTTGGGTAAAGCCTTTCAAAAGACATAAGCATGGACTTTGGGAAACTGGGAAGGACATTTTTTTTTTATTATCTGACATTTAATTCACCAACGATGCATCGATTGATCGAGCAAATAATTGGTAGATGAATAGAAATAATTTATACAAATATTTAGCCTTAATTTGGATCAGTTAAGATGTAAGAGCATGAGCTTACTTGATTCTCCTTCAGGGATTTTGAATGCTCTCCGTTGGTCAGCGCATCCAGAATATTGTCAGCCATTTTGTAAACGTACTCGTCTGATTTGGCCAGGAAGTCTTTCAAACTGCTAAAAACACACAGAGAGAACATTTAATGCCATTGTTTTCAGCAAAAGAAAATGAGAATCACTTTCTTGGCCAACAATAAGGAGAAGTCGATGTTGACACGGCTGACACTCGCAAAAACTGAACCTCCTGCACACTGTAAGAAAAACAGTCCAATACATAACAATAATAAGGGCTTTTTAAAAGAAGAAAAAGAATGGATTGTTGAACACTAACATCTGGAGGGTAATAATCCTGGAATGCGTCTGGTGACGTTCAGTGTGAGTGCCACAGAGCTTCAGATTGTTTTGGGGTCTTGCTGCACGTACCTGTCTGGTAGAGGGCCGGCCTCCTCTCCAAACAGCGAGCAGATGAGGTCCGAGTCGTCTTTGCTGATGTTGGAGAAGCTGGAGTCGTAGGTCGGAGCGTAGGAGGTGTACGGCCCGTAGTTGACGTAGGACACTGTGGAGAGAGTTTGATACACGCAGGTTAATATGGGTCAGAGGAGAGGGGTCTGATATTAAGTATCTGAATATAGGTTTTTCTTTTACTGAAGATCTGTATATATTGTTTTGAACATTTTAATCTTTAAGTAATTTTGTAAGTCTTGAAGATTTACTGTCAAAATGCTGCCGGGTCAAAATAATCCCCCACGTGGCATAAGTCAAGTATTTATCTCTCTGATATTAGAGATGTGCAGAAACAGCATGAGTAATGAATGACCTGGAGTGATCCTGTTCCTCTTGTCCTCCCTGAAGCCCTGCAGGGAGTTCATGCCGCTCTGCAGCCGGTTGGACATCATGCCCAGCTTCACAGGACAGAACCCAACATCTGGAAACAGGAAGAAACACAATATTTAGCTCACTTTTATTCATTCATTCAAGATCGGCACGCTTAATATTTAGCAGATTAATGGCACATCACACCTTGATTTGAACACAAACATTTACAAAGTCTAAACTCTGAAGTGAGGAGTGAGCAGATAATCATTTAGATTGTATGGATGTTTTTAATATGGTTGCATTCATTATTGAGTTTATGAAGTGACTGTGTAGTTTTACACATTACTGGTTACGTTCTACGAACAATAAGTACTTGCTTTTATTTAAAATATCGCAAAACGTTAGAAAAATATTCCAGTCTTGTGATGAATTTGTCTTTATAAGATATTTAAAAACATGTATTGAGTAATGAAAAAAGTATTGATGAAGCACCAAGCAGATAAGGAGTATCAATAAGAGCAGTATCAATAAAATCCTAACAATACTCATCCCTACAATTAACCACCTGGAAAAATAGAGAACATTTTTATCACAAATAACTTTTAAATGTTCAAGGAGACGTCTTGAATTTACAACAGTCCTCCAAAATCCAAAGATATACATTTTACAATCATCAGATGTAAAATACTTGCACATCAAAAGCTTTAAGTTATTGCTTTAAAGGAGTTTTATGGAAGTACATTTGAGCTACCTCCTGCTGCCAGATCAGCTGGATTAAGGACTGCCAGAGTGGTCGAGCCGTCCGTCTTCCGCCTCGCAAACTCCAACTACACAACAAATAAAATACAGGGCTCAATGGCACATCAACACCTAAACAAATCACTTTTCAGTAAAAGAAATGGCTGCGTTATTGTTGAACATTTGGGATGGACGTTGAGACATTTAATCCCCATCACTAATTGACCACCATGATAAATAAGTTAAAGGTAGGGTAGGTAAGAATGGAGAAACCAGCTCGAGTGCGCTAGAATTTGAAACTACGCAGACTTCCTTACAGAGCGCCTCCTCCAACACACACGGAGACGCACATGACCAATGAGGGCACGAGATAAGTTTGTGCACAGATGGAAGGCTGACAGGCAGGTAGGCCATCCAGTTATTTTAGCCGGGCCGGCTCAGATGATTGGTCGTGCTTTTTACAGTACCACGGCTTCCACAGAGGACATTTTTTAATGTATTTATTGTCAAAGCATTTAATGTATTCATTGCTATCGGGATGTTAAGAGCATTCCATGGAATATAACAAGTGTTTCTGAAGTGAATTACCTACCCCCCTTTAAGGCTTCATGTCTAACAAGCTCAAATCCATGTTAGGCCAATAGAAAAGTATACGTAAAAGTACACATTTCTACGTAACATTAAGCTGTCTTTGGCTCTTTTTCGGCTGTAACAACGTACATTTCCCCTCTGTGGGACTAATAAAGGTATTCTAATTCTGATTCTGATAACTATTATCTCAACCAAGGGCTTTAAAATAACCTACTTTTCCTATTTCTCATATCATCTATTTGACAAAGGACTATTTGGAATAATGAATATTGGTAATTTTGAGACAAAAAAGGACATTTAAAGCTCTTCCTCACATCGCTCTGCAGCACTCGGCTGGACAGCTTTCCTCCAGAATCCGTGATGACTTTGCGGATTTCCTCCAGTTCTTTCTCTGCCTTTGCCGCTTCGTCCTTGGAGTCCTTTTCCTTTCTGCAAATGAAACAAAAATACAAATTCTAAGAGACGACACTTGAATGAAAATATTTATTAGGGCTGTCAGTCGATTAAAATATTTAATCGCATGATGTCCATAGTTAATCGCCCATTTTTTATCTGTTCTAAATGTACCTTAGAGGAATATTTTTCAAGTTTTGAGTACTCTTATCAACATATGAGTGGACAAATATGCTTTATGCAAATGTTTGTTTATTATCATTGGAACAATGACAAATATTCTCCTGAATATTCTCAACACAACAACCTGGAACCTCTCTCTCTCTCTCTCTCTCTCTCTTACACTCTCTCCCAACCCTGTCTACTTCTCTGCACTGAGCCAGTTGCTCAAACAGACAAGCCTGTTTACAGTTGTCGGCGAAATGCCGCTCCTCTGTCTTCATCTTCATAACAGTCAAAGCATGAGACGAACCACTGTGGGTCAAAATAATGCACTGGGATGTGCAGTCGACACGTTGGATGCGATCCGAATGATCTCACCCCCCGAGCGAGCGGCAGGAGCGGGGCTGTCGGCATCAGCTGTGTGCTTGGCTTGCGGTTTAAAACACCTTTTTTTGTATCCATATAGCTCTCGCTAGAATCTCCCACCATCCAACCAACAACAACGTCAAGCCTTTGCGCTCTGAAACTACGGGGCGGCCGAGGACAAATACACATGCGTTAAAAATAATTAGTGGCGTTAAAAAATGTTTGCGTTAACGCATTATTAACGCGTTAACTTGACAGCCCTAATATTTATATTTTGTGGCGAAGTATTAAAAGCATGCACACTGCAGCAACATTTCTGCAGGGAGGAAACCTGTGTGGGTGTTTCTTTACATTAAACCCTGACATTTTGCTTTCCTTCACCAGATAATTGAGTGCTTTGTTGATCTCAATAAACGCATTATCTTTTGTTGTAATACAGGAAGAAGATGAATGAAAAGGCTCCTTGGATGTACCTCTGACAGTGAGTCATAACTAGCATAACTCTAGCCGTCTTCAGGTGCCGTTACATCACTCGGAAACAACTAAACACCCGCTTTGAAAAGACGTCCAGCCTTGAGAGAAAACAAGACCGGGCGCGCTGCGAGGCGTTCTTCACGTTCTCAGCTTCACAGTGGAAAAAAGGATTCACTTTAGTTTTCAATTGTACCTGTGTTGACTTGTGACTCGACAATTCATGTATTTACTTCACTTTTTCTTTTTAAATCGGATAGTCGCAGGCAAGCTGGAAACTGTAGTTGGATAGGCCAAAGAAATACACGTTTTGTTTCATATCAGAGAGAGCTTTCGGCAAATTCATGATTGACATGAGTGATCTCTAACTCACACTGACTTTAAGATAACATGAAATATCACAATTCAAGGGGGAAGTGATAATAATTGTTATTTCAGTTATGGGCATTGAAATCTGGGAACTCCTAGTGTAAGAGCAGATATGCTGAAGTGGCATATGACTTTACTTATAGGGTAACATCTGCATTTGTTATAGATTAAGATTTTGTGTTAAACTGACTTCTGGGGACAACCGTTTTTTATTTGTTCCAGAATATAGCAATGGCAGGTCACTTAAACAAAGCAGGCTGCAATGTAATCCAAGAGGGAAGCGTGTGGCGCAGTGGGTGTGTGTGGCGCAGTGGGTTAGTGCGCTGATCTTCGAATCAGAGGATAGCAAGTTCAAACCCCACTGCAGTCAGCATGTCGTTGTGTCCCTGAGACACTTCACCCCAAATTGCTCCTGTGGGGATTGCCCACAGTATTGAGTATGTAAGTCGCTTTGGATAAAAGCGTCTAACAAGCAACATGTCATGTAATGTAATCCTTTCAAGCAATGGTGCAACATCAATATACATCAATTAAAAAAAGCTTGTTGTTGCCACTGATGAAAAACAAATTCAAAGCGTCTGACAGCTTTATGGAAAGGATCCTTAACCAGCATGTCCCTGGTTAAAAAAAAAGGACTTCTTATTCGAATTGAACATAAACAACGCAAATTTGCCCATAAGAATAACATAGCCGCCTGCTTTACAGCCTAAGCAATATCACCCAATACTGAACCAGTTTTAAAATGTTGTTGATCCAAAATACATCCATGTAGGAAAACACCAAAGTACCCTTTCAGGAAACATGTATGTAAAGTAAGCGGGTTAAAGCACCTGGGGGTCAGGGGCCTCTCGCTGGTGTTGGTGCTCGAGGCTCCCTCTCTGTTCTGGTCCATGTTGGCGCCCCCCCCCTGCTCCTTGGTGGTGCCCGGCTTTTCATCAGAAGGGTCGAGGCCGGACATGAACGTTATGCTCTGCTTCAGACTCTCCAGTCTCTCCTGCTCAAAAGAAAAGCAAATGTGTTATCTTTTTACTTCTTACTACGGAAAAGAGAATAATTGAAGGAAGAGCCATTGCCTGATAAACCTGTTGGTACTAGTACGGTCAAAGTCTAACATGTTTATAACAGAACCTGACTAGTGAGAAAAAATGCCCTCCACTAGTTAACTAGTAAGAAAAACATCAGTGTCACTGGTTTACTAGTGACTCCTCTAAGGCTTCTCTAGTTAACTAGTGAGATAAAGTGTGTGTAACTAGTTAGCTAGTAAGGTAAAAACAATTGTACTAGTGTATCTAGTGGACAATTTGGACCTCACTAGTCAGCTTGTAAGACCAAAAGAGGCTTCAACTAGTTAACTAGTGAACATTTTGCCTTCACTAGTTAACGTGTAAGCTGCAATATGCATCCACTAGTTAACTAGTTGCCGTTCATATGGCCAACACGTTCACTAGTCAGCCATATGCAAATGAAGCAGGCGGGACCCAGATTCTGATTGGTCAGTTCAGCTCTGTGAGGGAGAGCCTTAGGGGGCGTTCTCCTGCAATGTTTTTAGCAACGTCTCGAAGACGTGAGGTGCATCAGTCGGGTATTTAGTGCCTACTGTTAAAAGATTGTCCGTGGGAAGTCAGTCAGTGTGTTTTGCCTAGAAAAATACATGTTTCTGTTTCTGCTTTGTTCCGCTTTGTGTGTGTGTTTTTGTTGGTGCGAGTGTGCATCTATTAAATAGTAAAAGATAATGGGAACATTTAGACATGTTCAGTTAATAGCATCAAGAAGAGGGAAATATTTTCTTTTTCAAAGGTCTTTCTATCGTTTCTGTTACTTGTTTGGTTTCACAGTATGTAAAGCTAACCAGTTTCACAATACACATTCCTACATTTGCTATACTTGCTACAGACTACATACTATCCTACAGACATATATTACAGGGATACAGAAGAAAAAAACATGACAGCTTGACTCCAATTTCTTAGTGAATACTGACATGAATCACCGACCGAGGACAAAAGAGATGTCAGGGTTCATGTTTTAATTATAATCAAATAGAAAGGACAAAGTTTCATACCTGGCTCAAGATCTTCATCCCAGAGTGCAACAGTTTCCGAGCTGCTCTGTGGAAAATTGTCTCAGGTTTGTTGTAAATCATGGCGTTTTCACACATAATCTTGAAATCCACCTGCACAACACATCCAAAACATGACAAGGAAACAGCTTTTAGCGAGTTCATTTAATTAAAGTATTCCCTGTCTAAAGGGATCCTTGGCCGATGTTTATCAGTATGATGGGAATGTTCTTTATTTCTTCTTAATTGCCCTTCATTTTTTTAATGTGCTCTCAATTTGACCTTCATCAACATAAGCAACATCTACTTGGTGGCAGTTATTTTTACAAAGCTTTACATGAACACATTTCAATCCATTTAAAAATGCCGACCTCCTGTTGTGTGTGTGTATAATTAGCATGCAATGATACAACAGTGTGCAATAAAGACAGATACCTTGATTTCATCCAACGACTGATAGTACTCCTTCTTGACTTTTTCCTTTATTGTACTGAAGTCCATAGGCCGTTTGATAATTACAGAGTAGCCAGGAGCGACGAGGTCCGTCACCGGAAACGAGAAGAATGCACTGGGATCTTTCCTACAGAGAAAAAACACAAACATACATTATTTATTTCCTGGAAGTGGGGGCTAATGATTAGTCAAATAATCACAAGCACACAATAATCTCATATTAACAAATGATCAATGCTGTACCTTTGGAGCTGCCTGATGAGCTGGTTCAAAGCTTCCTGCAGAGGAGTTTGTTCCTTTTCTACAAGGAAGAATAATAATAATGATTAATGGAAAGTTTGTCAGGGAAAAAATAGTTGACATAAACTGCGAACAAGAGGAAATGAGAGAGTACCTTCCAGTCTATCCAGCTCTGAACGTATAGGAGTTCTGCTCCGTTCATCATCTCCATCTGTTTCCTGTCCTTTCTTCTTCTTTGTCATCTAATATTGCCAAAACATACATTGAATCAAACATGCGTACAATCCATAACAACTCCTTTAAGAGGCTTAATACAATATACTGTCCCATCTAGATGAGGGGCTTATGATCTTTGGAGGCCTTACCTTTTTCTTTACTTTGGTGTCCTCTGGTGAGCCAAAGCTCTTATCTTTATCCTTCTTCTTTTTCTTCTTCTTGTCTTTAGGTTTTTCAAAGTCGGACGCCGGGTCGTCATAAAAAGTGTCCCGACTCGAGCTACCTGTCGTCACTTCGTTCCCAGAGACTTTCAACACCAGCTTCAGCGGTCTCTCTCCATACTCTGCAGATAAAGTCAACAACACAAGATCTCAGACTGACAGAATCAGTAAAAATGTTTTAATCATTCATCAGCTGAACTTTAAAGACAAATGTGTTTAAGCAAGGACATCAAATCATTTCCAACGTGCCTTTCATTTGTCCATTTATCCTCTGCAGGCTGGCAGGTCAAAGACCAACAGAAAGTTTTATCCCACATGATATAAGACTGTTGAGCCCTGTACGTATGTATTGAATTTAACATTCTGTTTTCAGCCCATGTTATTCTATTTTAAATCGATATAGTTTACTTTGCACTTGCATTAACCTGCACAATGGTCACTTGCAACATTTTATTTTATTTATATTCTGTTTTATGTCTTTTATATATGTATGTTGCATTGTTGAAGGAGCCTGGGATTTAGGATTTGTGTTACCATAACTACACTATAGCTACTGTGCATATGATGATAACACCTATAAATCTTGTCTTAATTATCCCAATGCAGTCTAGAAATGTAAAGCCCACGGAACTCTGTTTTGAAATTGACTTAATAAATACTGATAATATTATCATCCTTGCTTAATTAAGACCAAAAAAGCATCATAGAGCTAACTGTAGTTATCTGTTGACAGCTAAGAGATGCTAGGAACAATAGCCGCTAACAGCTAGCTTCCTTAGCAGGCATTGTAGTGACGCTGCAGCTACAGCTCACTTTATTTTGTAATCTTAAATCACCTGCTTTGTATTTATACTCAAAGTGTTGCACATTGAATAAGACACGTGGTAAGTAAACATGTAAATAAGCCTGGTAGCATGCTAGTTAATCAGCTAGCTTAGTGCTAATGATCGAGCTAACACGGCTAACAAGCGCGGAATTAGATCTCCCAGTTGATGTATTTAGAAACAAATCAAGAGATGGTAAAAGCAGTAAAATGTGAAAGAGATGTGTGAATTACTTACCTTCATATCCGTGTTTCTCGGACTTGTGCTTTTTGTGCTTCTTGCCCATTGTTTGTATTATGATCACCGGCTGCTTCTCTCTGTGGTGGCGGAAGTTCTGCAGATCGATGCAGGTCGGCAGCGCCCCCTGCCGGTGAGGAGGGGGAAAACCACCCACCGCCGGTAGGGGGCGCTGTAAGCTCAGTATTAAACTTCAACCAAGCCCTGCAACACTTTTCCCTCCAGATTTAACTGTCACTCAGTCTGCATTATGAATCATGTTGGCTACTGCAAAGATTGGACACTGAATTGAACATATTTGTAACGACGTCCTGCTGGTATTTCATGCGGTTTTCAATCATAGATGGTTGTTGAAGAAGTATTCAGACAATGCAAACATAATCTGCTACAAGTACAAATCCTACATTCAAGATTTGATTTACGTAAAAGTTCAACATTATTAGCATCAGAATATAGCCTACTTAAAGTACCAAAAGTTAAAGTACTCATTCTGCAGATTAGCTCATTTCAGAGTAATGTAAGTTTTATGTTTTGATTATAATTATTGATGTATTAGAGTGTCTTAAACGCTGGTTTCAAGTCTTCTTTAGTACAACATTTCGTGAATTATGGTCCCATTTAGAGTTTAGTAGACTTAAGTTTAGTTTTCACTTCATGAAAGTCAAGTAAATCAGTATTCAGTTGCACATTGCGCCACCCTTTCTTATCACTCGTGAAAAAGATGGCAAAAGCCACTTGCCAAACTCGATGCGACACAGCGCTAGGCGGTACAATGAAGGCCTGGTGGCTCCATCCTCCTCCTTTGGTCAATGGTTGGACTGGAATCAAATATGGGACTGAGGCTTGTATAAATAAACCAGAATACAAGAGGAGACAGATGACACTTGCTTATGGTTGGGCTCCATAGGACACCATACATTCTGCAGAGCTGTTATTCTCTGTTAAATCGGCACATATTGTACCGTCTGATGAATGACAGATGTTTTATTCATGGAGATAGTGTGCATTCTTCGAAGCACATTCCAGGTTTTATGAAGAAGGTACAGGATGGGGGCTGAAAGTTTGAAAAGAATGAAGATTGACTGAAACCACAATTTCACTGTCTTCAGATGAAGAGGTGATTCTGACACCCTGTTGATGTTTGAGACTCCTATCCAAGCAAACCCATCCCCAACAAATGACCTCCTGTTATGTGTCAAGAAACACTAGCTCCATCGTACAATCTCTGCATACCTGTTTGATGACTAGCTTATGGAGAAAGCTTTAATTACGAGGAATGAAGTGTCTTGACCCTACACATCTTTATGCAAACAAATATAACAAACAAAGAAAGGCCTTCAAAATTATAAATATATTGACTGATTTATTATGTTTAATGGATTCTTTAACACATCCAACAAATATGGAACATCTTTGGAAACATGTTTCAGTCTTTATTCTCCTTTTTGCTCAACTTTTGGTAAACTCCAGAAAAACTACTGCTATTTGGTAACTTTGTCTGTCTGACGTTTGATGCTGGCTTATCAGAAAAGGATTCTGATCTTGCAATACTTTTGGAGAAGGATAATTTTCTACATCTGAGACTGTGGGCCCCCCCTCAGACAAAGCTTGGAAAAACCAACTACTTAATCTACATTTTGTAGTAATTCCTACATCATAATTACATCATATACATGAAAAAGGTCTGTCATAAGACACTTATGAGTTTTTGTGACTCTGGAAAAGTGGTAAAAAAACAGTAAAGTTCCCCAAAACTGTGTCTCTTAACTCCCCTTTTTAACTGAATCACACATCTTCATCTCCATGTGAACTTCTACAATTAAAGTACCAACTAATGTAATATTTATTTTTACTTCCATCCCCTGAAGCTGTTTTGAACCAACCTGGGGCGGCCCGCTGTCCACTTTGAAACACGTTTGAAGTCTTTTGTAGAAAAATTAGTAACATAATTGGAGTAGGTGAAGTGGTGTATTTGTTATTACCACCTGATGGCGCCAAAGTAAAACCTTTTTAAATCCTACACATTACTTTAAACTGAGTGACTTCAGTTTCCAAGGAGGAACAAATCCCCTCAAGTCAAGCATACCTTTTTACACACTAATCATCTTGAAAACCTTGTCTAGAAAGAGTGACTTGGGAGGAAAATAATGATCATTGCAGCGGTCAAAAGCTCAGTTAAATGTCCTGGTACCGATAAAGGAGGGATGTGTTGGCGGGATATACATGAGCCCTGTTCAGGCCCACTGCAGCCCCAGAGAGGCTGTGGCATCCATCTGCTTCAACCCAGCTGTGGAACAGCACACGCGTTGGAAGTCCACGGATTAAAAGGAGATCAGTTACACCAAACAGGGCTAAATGGCAGATGTTGTGCATTTCATTATCCTCTGTCACAACAGAGAGGCTAAAGGGACCCAGAGACTGATTCCACATGAAAGCTGCATCCCAGCAGAACCATGGGAAACCGCTTCCCACTCTGCAGAGGGCATGGAGCTCGGATGTTTGGTCTCACCACACACACACAACAAAAATACAAACAGGCATACAAGGTCAGGCTTTGAAAGGTTTATCTGTCTTGCACATGGTTCGACTGAACCGAAATTGGAGATTACATGTGACCCTGAGCCACAGCACTACAGATATTTGACATCTTTTGAAGGGGGGAAAAAATGAACTTTTTCCAAGTTTGTTCACATACATTTTGGTATCTGGAGATCCTTCCAACCCACCAAACCATTTAGGGTTTTGTGGGTCAGAAAACATGAATTTCAACAAACCATTCAGATTTGGCTCCACTATATGTCACATGGCACTGGCTAAATCATATACCGCCCCTCATCTGAGTCAGTGGTTCCCAACCTGGGATACGGGGATCCCTCGGGGTACTTGAGGGGATTGCAGGGGGTAGCCTACGTAGAAAGATTAGGGATTGCAATATATTTCCACACAAAAAAACATTTCAAATGTCATTAGCCTGGTGTCCTCCCCCAGAACTATCACATCTTATGAAAGACAAGCCAGCTCAAGTCTTTCATTAAAAGCTCTAGTTTTAACAAAAGATGTTGAAACCCCTAAAAGTGAGTCTTAAAATTATTTATTTTCGCTGACAATAAGTGTAAATATCAAGTTTAAATGCATTTGTATTAAGGGTGAGTTATACAAGTGGTTTTCATCTAAGGAGCAGTTGGGTTAAATACGGTTACAAAGGGTTTAACACAGGAAAAGTGGATGAATCCAATGTAGGTGAATCATCACAGATAAGTGAGGGGGTTCTTATAGAACGGCGACCAGCTAAAGGGACAGCACACGAGACAAAAAAGGTTGGGAACCACAGGTCTAAGAGCTCCACCCATGACTTGAGAACTATCTTTCAAGGTGCACCGTATAGCCTACTATATATTTTCAAAGGAGTCTGGGCTTTTAAGGGATTGAGGCTTAAAAAGACAGGCTGTGTCAGACAGAGGTTGACTTTGAAGCTCACTTTTACAAACCAGTGACTGTCTAACATCCTCACCGCCTCATCTTCTTCTTATTTTGCAATCGAAGTTTATTACAAAAAACGTTCAATCAGTTCTTAAACTCAAACATGTATTTTGTTCCACATATGGGGCGAAGCCTGCAAGCTAGTTCAGGCAGTCAACTCGTACATCATACATTAACATGTGACGCACCTCGTCCCTCTTACAACCAACCAAACACATTCTCCTAAACATGCCGCTCTATTTAAGCTGCCAGGTCTTCCTGCCTCTGCCTCCTTAATGCTGCTGCTGCCACTGCTGTGTTCACTTGCTCCTGCTACGTTCATGTTCCTGCTGCTGTGTTTCATGTTGCTGCTGCTCGCCTGCCCCACCACCACCCCAGCTCCACCCCAGCTTCCACCTGTAGGCTCGGGGGATAGTTATCTAATCATCACTCAATGTTCTTTGTAAATCTGTGGAGTGATGAGGCCCGAGCCTAGACGCCAAACTCAAACTATATGCTGCTTCTAATAAACATATTAAGAAACACGTGAGTTTTCTGACTGAACTATAGTTGTAATTGTTTTATTGACATTTGCACTGTTTCTCACACAGATTTTAAAGCTCTATCACTGTACGTCACTTTGGGTTATTCAAACGTAAAGCTTGGGACAAATGCAAATTGATAACTTCGCTCCTTATGGATAGATATAAGAATATAGCGTGAAGTTTGGTCATAGAAGTATATTCTTTTCACTAGTAGTTGTCAGAGCGCTGTTCAGATATGACAGATGAAATGTTTGGGGTCATTACAACTGTCAACGCAGAACGGTTTTGAAGATGTAACCAGCCGTCACAAGTAAGTCAGACAGAAACATCAAAGAGGAGAAGCCAATCATTCTGCCTCAGTGTTTTTCTCCCGCCTGCCACACTGTCATGGCAACATCTTTGAGCATCAATCACTCATCCCCGTCAAAGCGTTATGTGTATGGCAAACCTATTTTTATCTGCAACCAAAATACTTTGAATTTTTGGCTTTGATTATCAATCTTTACAGCTCGCCACTGTCTGTCTTCCTGAAGTTGCAGTCCTGTTGTCCTCTGACGTCCCACCAGGTCTGTGGAGTACTAGCCATGTTAACGCCAGTGGAAGTTGTTGTTTTGGGGATTTTATGGACAAAGACAGAGACCATTATGCTGTAAAAAGTCCCTGTTTTCCAAAGTGTGTTGGAAACCGAGCCAACAGGATGCATTAAAGTTACTGAATGTATTCGTATTGTATTACATTTTTGATGCCTTATATAAAGTGTGTTGCAAAATGACATACTAACATACTAATTATATATGCCATTGCCAGCAGAAACTGAAGCAAATTCAAACAATACATCTTTCCTGCATCACATGACTTTGCATTGATCATGTTCACAGTTGAATACTCAGAAATTCTTACTTATCCAGTACACATCATGGATATTCTCGCATTCACGCAAAACCCACATAATAAAGTACTTTATTATATATTCATATATTCAGGAAGTTACCCATACAAGTATGGACTATGGTTTTAGAGCCTCTATTTAGGCATTTTGGCCATTGCTGTCTTGGTTTTTTGGAACCAGAATTGACAGAAGAAAGTCGAGCTCAG